AATTCCGGGTGAGGTTGCCTGCTCCCGCACACCGTGAAGGATAAACGTCACCCAAACTCCAAACCTACTTCAATCGATACCAGCCCCGACGCTCGACCTTGTCACGTCTGCAGGCCAGGCAATAACACGCTGGATTCGCCGGTGTTTGCTCCGAATCCATCAGAACGCGCGAGTGAGCGCTATCCTAGATCGGCACACAGCGGGAGGCGATCGATAGGAATTTATTGCGCCTTGAAGATATAATTTACAACGCCCACAATGCCCGTACCGCTCCTCGCTTCCGATTCACTCACGCACAAAAGCTAATCTTCCACTCCATCAACGTACCTTTTCTAATAGCTAATAATGACGGTGCAATAGAAGTGGAGAGAAGGAGCCACCAGCCTCTCACATGATGTATCTCGTCGCTGTGCACATGAAAAGCACCATTAAGGACGGGGCTGCTTATTAAAGAGTCCTTCTGTCAAATAGTTCCCATCTGTCTTTGCTGTAACCGGCTTCATCGGGCTTGAGGTTTTTAATCGTTATTCTCACTCAGGCGACGGCACTGGTCTTCAAACAGTCTGTAATAGCGCGTTTGCTTCTATAGATTTTGAGATTCAAATGCGTGTATGGCTAACGTAACGTTATAAACACGTCGCCAGTATTTAAAATTGATTCTTCAGCTACATCATAATATTTGGGTAAGTTCGTGCTAGATGCGTTTTGATGAACGGGATTATTTCACCTTTTGGTAAATAATGACCACAACTTAGCATTTCTTTTATACACTGTGAGCAAAAACGTCGCCATAGTTATATTGTCCCTTCTTAGTGGCTCCGCTGCCTGGCGCCACCAAGATGTCACTAGATTGTCAGGTTATACATATACAAATACATACAAGCATATGTGCAATACTAATGTGCTGTGGCGCCGTGGTTAGTTTTGTGTAATGCACACTTCCAATACAGATTCACTATATCGTTCAGCGAGGTCCTGCTCTCAACAATGTCGTTTTGCAACTAGGCGAAGTCGGATTAATGATCCAACTCAAACCGGTATGGAATACAGCCCTCCAACTGTAACCCTTATTCCTGAATCTCAGCAACCTGTCATTCATCCATCGCTCCTTGGTGGGATAACCTTTAAATAGATGAATAATTCCAGTAACATGTCATCAAAGGGAACATCTTGAATAGAATGGACCCCTTGATAGAGGAAAAGGATGAGAGCAGGCTGGTTATCTCCGGTTATTCTATTCTGGTGGGGAAACTGCTATCTAACATGGTGTAGCCTAAATAGCTTTTGCCTGGGTAAATTGTGTGTGTGTGTTGAGAGCGGCTCATCATAGTCATTAAATTGATTTTTGACGTAGATTGTCGCGTGAAATGCTTATAAATGAAATTACAAGAGATGATTGTAAGAATCTGACCATGTGTAAGAATCTGACTATGGACCATTGACTTTTGACCGATGACAGGCGAGTAAACGAGGGCCTTCAGATGAAACTCTAAGAAACACAATAGTGTTATACGGAATTCTGTCGAGTTTGCACAAAATGATTTCTCAGCGGGAACAAGTTGTACACAGGAGTGACATTCGGTGCAGATGAGAGCTTGATTCATTGATCTACCCAGCGATGAATGTACAGATTGGTTATTGTGCACGAGAAACCCTCATTTTGTAAATCCATACCCAGCAATTCGTGTACATGCACAAGTATCGATGTCGCCTCATCTCGAAGACTTGCATTTTTGTCTGCTTCCCGATTGCTAACCTGTGGCGATGATGGGACTTGGGAGATTGAGGTCTCCATGGGAGTACTTACAGTTAGGAGGCTGCACGAAAGAGGCATTGTGTTCCGTCTCTTTACCATACATTTTGCTGTATATTTAAGTTGAAACATTGCAGGGAGAACCAAAACTGCTTATTTCCGTTTGGTAGTGTATTCGTCTTTCTTCTGGCAGCAGCTAAAGTACCTGCTGTAGTCCCAAGGCTCAAGCTGTTAATCTTTTTGTATTTCTATTCAGTCATTACATCGCGCTTAGTAGAACTTAGAGTATTGTATTTACCAGAAATTAATTCCCCGAACCAGGAAACCGCTAACTGTGCTACACTGGCCCCGGCACGTTCCTGGACAGCGAAGTTTATTACTGCATCGACCCGGCCGCAGCGCTGCCTAAGACCCGGGCCCTGCTGAGATAGGATGTTATTCCCGCTCTGCTGGGTCGTGAAGAGCACATGTCGAACTTCCCTCGACCTTTAAACACCACACCAGACGATCCTGGCCATTGCCTGTACGGCGCTGATGGTGTGGGCAATCTCGCTTCAGCGGCGAAATCCATCTAAAGCTTCGGCATCGTATAGGTAATCTTAGGGTGGACTTTCGCAAGGCCCTCGTCGGATCACGGAATCATTATCGGCGCCAGCAGTACAGGTATTAACAGGTAAGAGCCTCCGTCATGTTTGGAGAAACATCCGCGTTGCATGGTGATTTTAATCTACAGTTTGTGACACAGTTAAGCCGGTAAATGGCCTTTACACAGCGAAGTGTGAATGACTATGCAGTCATTAGCCTCAATCGTGCTTTTAGCAGTCCGAAACAGGTTATTCGTCCATTAACCTGGTAGGAAATCCATCAGAGGTAATGTTTGTATTTTACTATCCGTGTCCTAAATATTGGATCCCTGCCCTGTTTATATACGTCCGAAATGCACGCTGACTTGGACTTAATTCTCCCTGTGCACCTGTACGTGAGCTGTTAAAGAGAAGAGATTCGGTTCTAGAGTGGGGAAAGTGCCCAGGATCAAATTTGTGTATGTATTGTAAAGATAGGCGTTAAATGCTGGTGCAGGATTTTATGTCATCACCCTGTACAGATGAGGTAACTAAAGTTTATTTATAAGTTTTTGCACAATCGTTATGGGCCCACAAGCCACAGGGTTTCATCTTTTGCAGCCATAGTTAGGATACCTAACTTTGACAACTTTTGAATAATTTAAAAACAGAGGATTTATTCCATATGTGAATAATGAATTATGTGACAGTATGTGGACTTATATGACTGCGGACAGTGATACGTATGTGCAATTCCTTCACCTGTGATATTTGCAGGAGAAAGCCCAGTAAACCTGTGATCTGGATATCTATATCATAATGTCAGTGTATTCTATCTTAATGTTCAACACCAACATCAATAACGTAAGTCTGTGTAACCTTCTTTAAAACCATGTGTCATCATAAGAACACGTCGAATATAGTTATATCTTTTATCGATTTCTTAATCCCGAAATGTCTACCTTACAAACCCATGCCCAACTAATCAATGTTCAATTTACGCAACAAAGCTTCTATGACCTTTAACACTTTGTCTATCTGTTTTCGATATTAGCTAGACTGACGACGAGCAAACGCAAACCGAAATCAGCGATTTTTCAAACTCCAATATGTTATTGCAGAAATTTGCTTATATGAAGACGTATACCCTTTAAAGTAACAATATGATTCTTTATATCGTCTCTGACGTTGTGTTTAGTACATACATGTATTAGTAAGCAAGCCTAAAGCATAAGGGCCTTTTCAAAATAGCAAATATCAATCTATAAGAGATCTGATCCTCAGGACAGTACCAGGTTTGTTGAACTAACAAACATGTCCTTTCACAAAGATGTAACCCAACAGCTACCTGTACAAAGAAGTTGCCTGGGGTAGTAGGTGTTAAATATCTAAACACCTTCACGGGGTATCGGTTCACTTGACGTCAGCAAGTTCCCTAATCAGACCCCGATCAATTCGGAAAAATAATTACATTGGCTGCCCTATTTCTGTTCAGACTGAATTATTGATGAAACACCAACTTTCCTTTATTTTGCTTAATACTCTTCGACATGTATTTTCTTTAAACCTCGCCTTTTGGACTGAATCTTGCATATGGCGTAGTTTGTTTCATAAAGAGTCTTATTCAGAGGTATTATTAGGCCACAGCATGTAGGTTTTATGGATGACATCGCCTGAAGAATCTAAGTGCAAGAGGGTGAAAACAATATGGGGAAAAAGAAGATACCGACATTTTCAAAATATAAAGGCCTTGAACGTACATATAAGAAGCAAAAAAAAAAACATAGCACCACAGTCAGCAAGTCTTTTATTTCTGTTTATTTCTGTCTATATGGAGATGAAGGGGACGCTAGTACAGTAGTCCAGATCACTATACCTACACAAAAGACTGCCACATGACATATCCGCTCATGTTCAGTATTTTGTCATATGGACGAGGGTTCGCAATTTCTTGTGTTTTTCGGAGTGAGGCAACAAATCAATGCGCGCGAGGACGTCATCCATAGAATTTACCTGCTGCTGCCTTACGTAAACATCAGAGTTGGTAGACCTCTTTCTACACAGAGCATTGGTAGCCATACGACGCCATTCATTTCTGCAGCGGTTTAAATAACACTCATAATTGGATGGGATTTGTAATGCTGAAGGCCATTTTCTGCGAGATCTCCGCCACAAATGCGAGTATGAAATATTCATCAGTATCTGCCTGCTGTAGCCGGTATGGATTAGGGAACGTTGTGACACCAGATCAGTTCATAAGTCTGTGGTAACGCATCAGGCTGTAGGAAGTACAGCCTGTTTAGATGTTCAGCTGGCTGCAGCGTTCAAGAGCTCCGCTCCATTTTCAGTCAGAAGCCTGTCCACACATCAGGGACCCCATTAGTCATCACCGGCGCTCGGTTCATTTGGCTCTCACATGGCGCCTGTAGTGGGCCACGTTTGACGGTGAGTCCGGTTCATCTGGCAGAATGTGTACGTACCTTTACCGTAGTTATGTGGCATCGGGCATCATTAGCTGCTCTGTTAGGGCTTGTTCAGATGTTGTGCATGTCTTTTAATTTATTTCACTGCTAGTTTCATGTGACATTGGATGTTTTGAGTATGTTGTAGCTGATTATACACAGCCTAAAACTGTGTCTGTGATTACGTACGAGGGATAAATAATGCGTTGAGTTGCTTTTAAACAACGGTAAGTACGATCTAAAGCAGGATTATGGTTTGGATCATTCCGGTATCGATTTCCCATTCTTATAGTCCTTTCTCTACATTCCGGTAGGAAACAACCATGTATAACATGGCTTGTACAGATGACTTCTGGTGTTTTCAACTGCTTGAAGAACTGGCTTTGAAAACGCCCTAGCTTACCTTACCATAGAGGCACACTTACTGATTTTATTCTTGAATTTGTGTTAATCCATAGCATCCCAGATGTGATATCACTTGGAATTAATTGGATTAGAGATACGCCTGCTACACTTAGTTGTGTCTTACTGTGTTTAACATAGCTCTTGTAAGAGTTTTTCATTGTTCGTAGAGTGCACCTCTATTTTTGGTTGCACGGTTATATGTAGGACATTGCGGTTAATTGGATTCACATGTCTGAGTGATTGCATATCTACTTATTAGGACAGCCTACTGGTCCCATCCGCACGATGGAAATTTCCAGTTTACTCCTACTGTTGGTTAACAAAACGCTACATTCACACATGTGTCTCTGTTGTGCTCGGATAGCGTTTTCCTAGTGGGAGAATGACAGGGCAATCTAGCAGGAGGAGTGAGAAGTGACACTATCGTTGTGTGCAGCTCAGGTCTTCCACGTACATCCTCAGCCAGGTGGAGGGGTTACAATGTTACATGGCGTCTTTTTGTATAGAATGTCAGAATCCCGTATGTCTATGTACGACAATGTGCCAGTAAAACTTTCTTCATGATGCAAAGAAGCCAAAGGCAGGGAACTAGGACCGTCGGACTATATATAATCTGGACGAATGATGTGAATCAATCATACTCGTACCTAGATGGTCTGCCTACCACAACTGCAATTCCATAAAAACTGAGCAACATCTTTATTGAGAAAAGCTGGTAAAGACACGTTTTAGTGGCTATAGACACCGCATGAATTTGCACAAATTTAATTTGTTAACGGGATACCTATGGGGACTGGTGAATGAAAAACAAGACACTCCTAACTCGTAACTCTTGTCAGCAACAACGGTGTCGTTATTCACTAGCAAACGATCGTGATTTACACTACTACAGATGGCATCTTGACCCAAGGAAGCGGGTACAGAGAGATTTAAGCATTGCAAGGAAGATCCTCCTATCCAATGATGGTGTACCTCTGTAGGGTGGGGTTGAAATACGTTTGCAGTGCCGTCCTTAATGCGATATGGCTCTATCCCCCAAGCCATAACCGCCGAGATGATTGAAAAGGATGCTCTTTTACTGTATCCTCGGGCACTGTGATATCAATTTGATTTTAAAGGTCTGCAGTTATTGATATCGTGCATTTTCATTCCTGGGAAAAAACAAATGCGAAAGTGGAGGCTACTTTTCCGAAAATTCCGATGTATAGCAGGGCAATAAAACCTTCAAAACACATGAATTAACTGTGCTGCCACCACCTATACATGTACGCACCGCCAACAACGATCTTTTAATCAAAGAGAACGTGGAAGCCATACCACTTATCTCAAAGACACCTCCTGGCCATATATCTGGCAAAGATGGATGTGCAGTTGTTGCCGACACTAGAGTGAGCTTGTCCAGTAATCCTGGTGTTTTGGTCACCGCTTTCCAAGTGCTATACCTAAAAGGGTTGGCGGTCTGATAAGGATGACCCGGGGGCCTGAAGGCGCATTAGATGAACCGCCAAGGAGACCGTCTTAGAGAAGGTAAAGAATCTGGTGGAGAATGAACTGTTCCGGCTGACTTGTTTGATTTAACAGTGAGCCGTAAGTGCGTTTTCCTGCGTGTGGAGTGCGTCAGTGGATGTCTTCTGCGCCCTCAGCGAGGGGCAAAAGCGGCACTCCAGGGCCGAATTACGCTGATGGATGCACGGACCGGCGCGAGACTGGCTCTTGACCGTCAGAACGTGACAGGTCGATCAGATACAGCCGGTGGCCAGGCAGATGAACAGGAAGTACTGACTAACATGTGCCATTTGTCACACATCATTCGGTTTTTCAACGCCTTTCTCCAAAGCTACTGACGCATAACTCTGAAACATACATGTATATACATACAGACTCAACAGTAACTTGCAGGTAACTCGTATACTACGTGGTAAACGCTGTAATTTTCAGTTGTGTGGGTTGAAAGCTAAAGGTGCATGGTGTTTCGTACGTATACATGTGCGTAACGACACCCAGCAAGTAACAAAAATTCCTATCTATACCATTCCGACTGAGCGTTAAATTGCGACTTCATTCGCCTGGCACAGACTTATAATTGCACACAGGAGATGAAATCTCCCCGGTCGGGCCGTAAACCTGCCCCGGAGTCGAGCCGTGCCGGTTGTGCGCGGCGCCCGCAGAGACGCCGGTTCGAACGCCCGAGGCTGAGTTTGTGCAAATGTTAACGTTTGATTAACCTTCTGTAGTCCTCTGGAGCCATGCGGCGCCTTTCATCATGGAGATGACTATAACAGCGTGTCGTAAATTAGTATTAGGGGAAATCACGCTGGCTCTGTACTTGGTATTTTTACTACAACGAATGGTGCGTTTTTCATGCAATGTGAGCTGGAAAATACACAAATACATGTGGAAGTTCATTTGAATCTATACCAATGCTGTGTGAATACATTTAAGTTACAAAACAACATGATTTACGGATTACAAAAGGATCCAGATGGAGACCAAAGCCATCCAAGAAATGCAATTAACATTGCATTTATTCACTGTGAGTTTCCCTTATGACACATAACCTATTCTGTGGTAATTGAGGTAAAGACTGGATAACAATCATGACAAGAACGTCTGAGTCTTATCATCGTTGAACGATGGAGATCGTTAAAGGCTGCATCAAGCATTTCAACAGTTCTACGTCGTAAACACATCTATCAACTACCAATCTAAACGCCTACATTCAAATGTATTTGTCCCGATATTATGCCACAGCCTACTGAACCCCTACGGTACATAGTATAAGGAAATGTTTGTTGGAAATGTTTCCTGCATGCATGCCTTTTATATTGGGGTCATCTTTAATTTATTTTGCTCCACATTTTTGTTCTCTGTGTCTTCATACGCCATGGGTAAGCTTCGACGCTTGAAACATACGTACGTGAGGAAAATGCCGTGTATATATTGGTGCACTATATCCCGTTATAGGTACATATATCTTCCCCTGTCTATGGTTCTTGTAAAAGCTGTATTTTTCCATATTGGATCAGGAACCCCCCGAGCATCTAATTACCGCAATCCGAGATACCAGCATGCGGCTTTCGTCACAGGCAGCGGAGGTATCAATCGATGTTAACGACGGGATTCTAACGCTGTAGTTTAACCTATCATAGCAGACTTTGATAAATAGCTAGCTGCTTCCTGTATGTAGAGGCGGCGGATTCCAGTTAAGTATTTTTACCGTCGTGAAATAAACTTACAATGGCATATCATTGTAAAATCGATCCATCTGACTGTAAAACTGCAGCGGTCTGCTGAGTTTTTACTAGCAAGGCAGATTGTCAGTCACATAAATGAGGTGAATCTTTATAGTAACTCGGTTTGCGGTGTGCACGACAAGAGCCATAGACAAGTGAAGTGCCAGGTACTCAGGAGTACACATTTAGCCCTTTCTTCTCGTGATTGGCGAGCTGACATCCTACTCGTTAACGAACACGCAGCTACATACAATACCAAGGATTGCCAGAGAATCGAAACGCCGCACAATTGAAGTAGTCGTGGGATTCAATCAGAGCCACTCTAATGGAGCAGTGCTGTATTAAATTGGCGTCTCCTTCCGGAGACATTATAGCCTACTGACAATTACAGCTCCATGCTCGATAATCTAATGGTTTGTCTACTTCTATTGTTAATGTGATAAAGTGGTTTCTTCTTCTCCCCTCTGTCTGGATAATGTGAGATATGTTCAGACGACCAGGATCAAACCACAAGAGGGACTGGAACAAAATGGAAATCCACTTTCTTCACGATATATTTCCCATCCACTTATACCTACTACATGTATGATTCAATTACAAAGAAATGATAAAAATACTGTTCTGTTGACACAGGCACAGATTCACAATCTCATTACTAAATCCTTTCCTAGGTTCCTAACTCGTTGTGAGGCAATCTGTGGTGTATGATGAGAGGATGAATCTTCATCAAGACATTTGGCAGCAGCATTCATGATCATGGTTCTATATAAGACTCCTGATCGCTGCCATACATCATGTGTTCTGCCGCTGGCTTCCAAACATCAAAAAGTTTTTATCCCGACTTTGTGAAGTCTGTTATTGATGAGGCCATCCATCATCTGGCTGACTTATCTCGTGAAATCTAAGCGCACGCTCCGCGGATGCCGGATATCCCCGCACCCGCGGCAAGGACTGAGGCCTTCCGCTGATGTCAGCTATTCATCCTGCTGACGTGCTGCAGGAGTGACATAGCGCAGTATGGTGCCGTATTAAGAACTAGTCAGTATTCACTGGTGTACGTTCTTCTGGCGTTTTATGGTCCTAGACGCCATGGGAATTTGATGATGTTTGAAAAAATGAACGCTGCTTACAACAAACTTATGATTGGTTTTGACGTGCCTGTGTTGGAGTTGGTTCCCTACCGGGCCAGTATAGGCACCATGCGGCATGTCCTGGTGATATGTGAACATTTAGGAGATCTTAAGCTTGTGGTATAACATTGGCGAGTAAGCCAGTGGATAGGGCTACTGTGCTTAGCGGACAGACGTTGGTCGAGGTTCATCAGACATTTTTTTTATTACCCCGAAGCGAATGTTCATTGTTCTTTGATGTAATAATCGTGTCGCTCGCTAATGAATATCATACGATTGCCTTGGGAAATACATGGCCTTCCATATATGCATCAATTCAACAAAGTGATACGATCTTAGAGGTTTTTCTCAGCCAGCAATATTCTAGAGGGCCCCAAGCTGTTTTTTTTACCTTACGCTGCATTGAGGTACCACCGCCTGTTCAATTTAATTACAGAGAAGTAATTTCTTGATAACGGCATTGCTCATATTAATCCACGCGGCGGCAGAGATAGATTGGCCGAGGAATTGCAGAACTCTCATTTTGACTGAACAGAAATTGAGAATGACTGACGCTCCCAGCAATTCTTATTATCGAAACTCCGTGCTCTGAAAATGTGATTTGTAATGGTCTAAATTAGTATCGAAATTGCTGGACTCCCTTTTGCAGCAGAAGGATTTTAGCTAAGCTGTGTACTTGATGCTGCAGTTTCATGCCGCACGTTTGCAATTACTCTTTGACAGCAACATATTAAACCAGGGCAACATCATCCATCGCCCGTGACTGAGGGGATGGCTCGTCATAATAGATGGGATTACTGCCCGCGACTGGTGATGAATAATCTCTCCCTGACGTTTGGAAAAGATGAAGGGAACAGAAAACGTTGTTGGTTCAGGTGTCATGTAGGTGCTTTAGACGTACGGAACGGTGATACCGAACGACTTGCTAGCTGAGACAGTTGCCATGCACTGCAACCATTTAATGTCATTATCATCTTCTCTGCCTTCGGCTATTTCCAGATGACGTCCATAGCTGTGTGGCTTCTCATAGTCGTATACATTAATGGACCAAAAGTACACTAAAAGACAATATGTATACCCAATATCTAAATCCTGAATACTATACAGACTCCACCATACACAGGAAGACGGTGAATACTGATGCGCTTTTCCATTTTACCGTGTTGATTCTGCGAGTCGGTTCTGATTTATGAACAGACACAGTGTAATTTGGAAGGGCATTCCCAGTAGAAAACCCCGCCGTAGCAGACATGTAGGGAAGACGCTAGTGCCTGCCATACATAACCATAACCTGATTCCCTCACACGATCCCGCTGACCCCAAATCCTCCGAGATGTCAACACACTCCTCGGAGATCACACCCTGAGATCAGGATTCCCGGCGCGTGCACCCTGGCGTGCCGATAGGGGTGGAAGTTATTCTGGTGATTATCCACTGCCGAGCAATATCCCGGGTTCAAGTAGCGAACGTGCGCGGCCTAATGTTGGGTGAATTAAAGGCAGACATAAACGTCCATGAAAATGCATTTTTACATAAATTTGCCCTTTTTGCAGGCTTTTTTTTCAAAACCACCTTTGTCACCATAGAGGTTCTAAACATCTAACCAAGCGAACGTTTCTGCCAGAGAGAAAAAAACTTTTAAATCCATATCTGTCCTTGGCGTGAATGTCCCGCGGCAGGGGCAATCAGATCATCAGCGCATCTGACATTTCCTGAGCAGTGATTGAAGGTGTCGCGCTGCCAAGTGCGTAATCATTCCTCAAAGTGCACGGATCAGGGCCGGGCGTCAGCCTGCTCTTTCAGGAGCCTAACGGCAGATTTGGAACTCATGCCGGGGCTTAATGAAGGCTGGCTGGTCGTGAAAGTACTTCCTGAACAGGCCATCACAACTGCGCCGCTAAACTAAGGAAAATCTTTGGTGTAAAAAACTGTGTTATAAAAGCTACTTCAGAAAGTAAGCTCTTAGCTTTTTCTTATCAGAAAGCTTAACGATATGTATGCACCCCGCGTAGAGCGACATAAGCCCGACTTTATTGATATATTATACACACTTACTCGCGCTGATAAATAACAGCAACAGCCTAATTGCCATGCCTGGGGTGCCTCCGTCACGCCGCTGGAGAAGGAGGCAATAATGCACAGCTCGGTCCATTTGTTCCAAGTCGGCAGCAGCGGTTATGTTACACCTTATGTCTGGAATAACAGCGTTGTAGCTGAAATGTGTCTCCTTGCGTAGAGCAGGAATGATGCGAGCCTTCCAGGGACAATGCTTTTGTAACACGCTCTTCTGTCTTTCGGAATTGCTATGCTTTCGAGATCATCAAGATTTAGTAGCATATACATTATTATACCTTCATGCAAAGTCAAAAGTACAAACGATCTACAGAATATGAGAATATGAAAATGAAGGAATTTGATTCCTACTTCAGAATTCTACCTTTCAAGCAAACACAGCGCATGTCACGTGTGAACATGGCCTTGTCGTGTCTTTAACACAAACGAAGACGTGTGCTTTTAGCTGTACATATAAGGAAGCAACGTTCCTGTGATGGATGGTAAAGTAGTTCCTGCTAAAAGCCTCGGATCATCCTTCTTTTTAGGTAAAAGAGTAAAATAGCTGGGGGAGGGGTTTGCGATCTGTCACTGTAGCACGACAAATCCACAACACATCAATTTAGATTCTGCAGGAATCAGAGACGCAAAGTGCAACGAGTTCAGGATGTTAAAAAGTAAAAAAAATCGCATTTTCGAAACTACGTTCTCTAAAACACGTTCGCATATTTCACGCTTAAGCCTTGGGGAAACATTTTAAAGTAAATGTAGCCCTATGTCATGGACAGTGAACGTTTTCTTGAAAATGTTACATCCCATTTGGTGTTTGTGGAAGACATTTAGAGCCGCAAGCTTTGGGTAGAAGAGTTGAAAACTGCCATTTCCCGTCCATGAAAACGCTCTTCCCGCAGTTGTAGAACCGATTTCCTGCCCGGAAAATGCGGACCTTTCGTTTGTGCAATTCTGTCGTCGTTAGAAGAACGTTCCTCTTAACTCACAAGGTCGGTCGGCGTAGGAGGGGACTTAGCCTGACGTTTACTGTTGTTTCAGGCAAGCAGACTGCACGGAGAAGATAACGGTAATTCATGAACAGCTTCGGGAAAACGCACTTGTCAAGATTTAATCTGATCCTGTTGCACTGAGGCGTATAAACGCCGGCTCCGTATTACCGTTGTCGTTACCATTTCTCCTACTGAGCGAGAAATGAGATCTAACCAGGCACAAGAAAGCTGGCAAACTTCACGATATGCAAAACCCAATTAGACTAAAAGTCAAAAGTATCAGCAGTGAAGGTTAGCTTAGAATTTACAATCCAACGTGAGACCTGCATGCCACGTAACAGGGCATACTCAACACTGTGCATTAGGGCCATGAAATGCCAAATAGATAAACCTACTGAGGTGAAATCAAAATTTAAATTATACCAGTAAAGGGCGGGATCATAACTTCAGTATATGAGGGAGAACCATCGATGTGGAACGTTGGAATGACATTATGGTAATATTGACACCTTACATTTCAAAACGGAAGACACCTTGTGCAGAGGGGACCTTGCGTCTTATTCATGTAAAGCTTGAAAGGCGTCTATTGATTCAACGGCCTACTTGGCATTCGTCAAATGAGACATGCGGTTTGGTGGAAATAATGTCGGCATAGATGAAAGGGTTATACAGGGCTCTGTAAATTCTCTGGTATTATGAACGCACTAAGGTCTTACAGGCACGTGATAGTCTGAATAAACTGAACCTTCACCAGCATGAAAAGGCACCAAGGATCACAACATTTTTCTGACAACAGGTTAACGCACTGGCGTGAAAACTGAATAGTAAAAGACAGACGGGCTGACTGGTGCATCATCAATAATTGAACGGGAAGACTGAATGTTCCACTGTTACAGCCATGAATACATCAAAACAGAAAACTACTCGGATCACCTTTGCTCGCTCTGGGATATGATCTATTTTCAAGAATGACAAGACAAAGAAAAGACGGCCAGACTAAGGCAATACAGATATTATAACCAAGCAAAGTGATATTATATTTTCGAGGTTTTTATTCGGACATACTAAGTACAACGACTTCCCTCACTTCACTCAGGTGAAAATGAGTATAATGTATATTGTCCCCAGTGTTGGTGGCGGCATAAATATAAGTCGGAAAACTTGAGTGTGCGGTCACCACGTCTTGTCATTACATGTTGGAATAAACAAAAATACACCTTAGACCACCATATATCCATGACGTGCCAATAACACATCGTGGGACAGAATGAACCATAACCCAGCTGCGGACAGCCCTAGATGTGAATAACAGGAGGTTATGTGGATGTGGGCATTCTTTAGGCGTTTATTGGTTGTTACGGAAACCACGAGTTAGGAACACTGACCAGTTATTCCTTGTATCCATATGCATTCCAATCATTCCCAGCGTGATTTTGTCTTGTGGTGCGTTATGGTTTCATATTGTGACCGCTTGAATACAGCGTACGACTTGTAAAATGAGATGAGATGAACTGGTTTATTAAAATACATTACATTACACACTAAAAGTACAACATCGTATTCCTGGTGGCTAAATTGCAGCTTATTATCATACATGCTAAAAACTTTAGATACATGAGACATTGTGATGTTACAAGATCATGTATACATACCATGTCTGTTGAAGAAATTAGTTTTCACACACCTCTCTTAGCTTGCAGTATCTCTCTCGCCTGTCTGAAGTCACGTAATATATGTAGTTGTTAAATTGTGATATGTTTTCAAGCTCAAAAGTCAAAGCCTATGAGTCAAAATTTTTTGTAATCGTGGCGTTGTTTTATAAGCTTAATTGCTCAATTGTACTCTTCATTTGACACTTTTCTGTGCTTTGTAATGCAGTGATCTGTTGATGCAGTGAACAAACCTTGACCAGCTTGTTTTGACAGGCACAAATATAGAGCAATTGTTTAACAAACAACCATTTCATTTTCACAGGCCGTAAGCGGTTTCTCACAGTAATTACGCCACGGAAATGAAAGCTATTGGGTTCTGCAATCGGGCCATCAATAAACCACGGAAAGGACGTGTCATTTAGGCGCCCGGCTCTACTGCAATAACCCGCTCTCCACAGCCCGTTTTACAATCTCCGTTTCCGTCTATGTTTCACTACAGATTGATTGGACCCTGCCAAGCCACATTTTCGGAAGATAGCCGTCGGAGGAGACTTCAGAAAATCCTCACCCACACGGAGCCGGCATGCAGAGAGGTTGAAGAGGAAAACCTTTGGGAGAGAGATAGAGGAGGAACCGCTGTTAATTAGTGGCGGAGTCTAACCCAGTGTCAGCGGTATGTCTAGACGCATAGGATGGAGGTGGCAGACTTTGCTCCTGAGTCAATCCAATTTTACAGTTTCACGCTGGGCTGGACTCATGAGTGGGAAACCTAGCACGTATTCTAACAGCGTGGGCAGGCTGGAACGCTAAGGATTGCAGCCCAAAGGTTGGATGTGACGTCGCTGTATGTCCTTCAACCAACGCCGACGCATTAAATCAGACAAGGAAACGCTATCCTACCAACAGGACGTATGATATGACACAACAAAAGCCTACTCCCGACGAGATGTCAGGGTGCAGGAGTATAAGAACTTCACGGACGGGCCCTACGGCGGGACGGTTGGTGTCCCTGTCCTTGGTGCTGATCTCCGTTCTGTGCTTGGTTGTTATCACGACTGGACAAGAGCACATCTCAATGATCCCCCACTGTCCGCTGTTCAGTAACCGGGCACCAAGGAAACAACACATGCTCAGTAAATGTAAGAGGTAGGTAGTTCATTCCACTGGCATTGTACTTCCTTGTTTGTGTTATAAGGATATTCAATCTAGGCAGTTTTTCAAAATGATCATTGAAAGTCTTGTCATGATCAAACGTTCATCTTGTCTCAAAATAGAAACGTCTATAAGGAGCAGAGATTTTACTGAAATCTTAAACCGTGGCCCGAAGGCTCATCTGTTTTTTCAACGAGGACATTACATATATCTCTATATACATAGCCTTATCTGAATTAATGTCCTATATCTCACAAAGAAAGGAATCAGAAACGACACCGGTATACCAGTAGCAAGTATAAAACTTTTCAGTGCATCTAAAATTAAGAGGACACATTCAAAACTAAAAAGTGCTTTACTACAGACAGTGGCATCAGGTTGGTTCATTATCAGAATTAGTGAGACTGATGTTCCATCTGTGGCCCCTCGTCAATGCAAATTGATACAGAGGAAGCCAATATATCCCATTTATGTGTGTAGCACGTTTACGCACAGTATCTATTATCCTTTTATTGAGTTCCACTTGAAAATGAATTACAGTTTACGACAACCCTAGTCTATATGTAATGACCGTTTCTGCCCCGCAGAGAGACTTATTGCAGATTCCTTGATAGCCAATTAAATGACTTTCCAGCAGAGCTGTTGTGTGATAATCGCCTAATTCACGAGTAGTTTTCCCGCGGGATGAAATGTTGCACGTGTGCCGCATAACACCTCAAACTGTGAAATTGTACAGTTTATCTCAATAAACAAACTATGGCGCCGTGAAACCATGGTGTTTGCTGGAAATACTTTTGGTTGGCGAAATTTGGCGTCCCTACTTGAACTTACAGTGCCATTTCCATTCCAATTCACTGGTGATAAGTTTTAGTATCCGTCGGCAGTGAGTCATCTGGATGATGCACAAGTTTATGTCAGCCGAAAACAGCTTTACGATAACACATTACCACATTCAACCTTTAAAGATATCAGCCTGGATATGACCAGATAACGTTTACAATGAAATATTCAAACTATCGCTGATTACAATTTTCAAACTGAACGTTGATTTATATCTCAAGATAAAACTGGTCCAAGTTTATTGGAAAACGTCCAAGAAAGTAGAATCTTGGACCAAAGCAGGGCTGGGTTATCATGTGTGTAACTCTTGGAGTTATGCGTGAGGCATAGATTAGATCAGCTTTTTTATTTCGAATTTCTATTGCAGGCTGCCTAAAACGAATTGTACCGTAAACTGTATTTCGACTCGGTTCTTATATCAACCGATGTTTATATGTGTGAATGAGGATGGGATAAGGTGAAGGTAAGGTGACTTCCATCGTTCCCTACCTCTACCTTGGATCAGTTTGACGGTGATAGCAGATCCAGCCAGCCTTGATATCATTTTTCCTGGTGTTCTTTTTTTTCAGATATCGTGAGGAGGCCTGCTGTTTCCAGGAGGAGATAGACAGGTTCTTCCCTAGCGTGCCGAACCCTAGAGGCGCGAGTAAGAACTGCAGGGAACACATGACGTCACTGAAGTGTTACATCTGCTCCCCAAAACAATTTCTCTTCTACAGGAACGAGCGGGTAACGGTGTGTGAGGAGTTCTGCAACAAGTGAGTTGGAGAATCAGTAAATGTGTTTCGTTCATGCTTTTTTGAAAAGCACTTAAAAGTGTTAGCAGTAGTCAGTAGTTGTGTCTTTTCCAACGCGAATAGTAAAAACTGTTCTGCAACGTAACTGCATGTTACTGCCACTGTCAATATCACTGATATCATAACTTTTGTAGCAGTTTAAATACATCTAATTTGACTGTAATTTTCATATACGTGTTGAATATATAGAAGTCCTCAACAATCAGTAAATGTATAGTTTAGCCATTGCAAACTATCAATGGCTAAACTATGCATTTACTGATTGTTGAGGACTCCTATAGATCCTTTTCACGTCTGTCATTTTCAATACAGTGTGAATCCTGATCTGATAGATAATGTACCAGTATATATGTTGTGTTTTATACTATTTCCCAATTTTTGTCATTGCATCCTAGATGGTACGACGCCTGTTTCAATGCCAGTATTGAGGGGGAGCGTATCGGAGAGTGGTACTCTAACGGCAAGCAGTTCTGCGAAGGGAGGAAATTCTCCGTCATGTCCGCCAAGGCGATGGAGTACGACTTCCAGTGCTACAGCTACAACTACGACGACGAACAGGGAAACTCCTCTGCGCGGTTGTTCATCGAATGGAAACTTGCTGTATCTAATCTCCTGTGTGTGTTGGCGGCTACACTCGTGTGGACACCAGGTTAACGAGCGAGCAAATGGTTGACTAGATCTGAGGTTATAGTACCGTTATACGATGTAACGTTGACGTAACGTGTTACGATCTCTGGCGGTAGAAATGTGCGTAGCTGCATGACAGTCCGGGGCCAATGCAGATAAAAACGATATCTCGAAAAGATATGAGCTCGAAAGTAACCCGTGCGAATGATTGCGTACCAGTAACTACTTAACGACCGTACTGCATCACACGGGATACGTTAGAAAGACTATGAAGGGACGTGTTGAACTGAAAAGAAGAGGATTCTTGAACACTTTCTCGTCTCGACAACGCCACTATGATAAGCCATGTAAACGGTAACGGCTACAGGCTGTGCAGATAATGTCTACATTAATCGCAATAACGGAGATTTATTGAACAATGTGATGATGGTCTATATGGAGAAATAAATTTTGAAAAGTCACTGTCAATGTGTTCATGTGCAGTGATGTGTACTTCATGTTTTATATCCCCTAGACTACATATGGTCACATGAGCATTTATCCCATCTGGGCAGGAATATGCAATAAAGATGCATTTCATATCAATATCAATACTTGCGCTTTTGAAAAAAAAAACTTATGCTTCACATCAGATCGGAATGACTGCTTTACCTTACACAGAGATGCATGCTACTAGATACAAACGGAGTTTCAGTCACGGCGCGCAGTTTTCCGCATCCACTCCTGCAGTTTACATATATTCCGCAAGGAGCGCTGGCGTGCGGGCCACTTGTTACGTACAGGAAGTGTCATCAGTAGTGTCACATGATAAACGTTACGTCCAAGATGGAGGGGCGTGCATGCCGGTCATGTCGTCTGCACCACATATCTGCGGTTCTTTTGCTTTTCTTGGTGACAATAGCAACAGGTAAGTGAAGTATTGGAAGACAGTGCACATTTTCAACCTCATCATACAATTTGTACCGCTAACGCTATTCGGCATGGGGGAATACCGGGACTCAGGACTGTCAAATATAAAGGTTAAGTTTAACGTTATAAGGCCTTATAACGATTCTTTGCGTCAAATTTGTTACTGTAGTTTTTATTGTCTCCGGCCGGATCCTGTAAGTTTCTGTTCGTACGAACACTCAGTTCATCTAAACACATACATTTGTAGTCCAGTAGCCGTTCCGAGCAATAATATTTGCTTGCTTATCACGTATGGCTTTAGACCAGTTTAATTCCTTTGACTAGGTTCAAACTTGTGGCTAGGATTTAGGATTATGTATTTCAAGATCCTTGGTATATAACTGTTACAGGTATTGGAGGTATTGGATAAAAATTATTTGCCATCACTCCCAAGGGAATTTGAGATGTTCTCTTCATCTATGGAATGTCATGATATGTTTTATTTTACATTGTAATACCATGCATGTAACCTTATACTCCAGGAGCAGAGATCAAGGCTACAGCGTACCTGGCACAAATCAAGGCTACAGCGTACCTGGCACAAGGGAAGGTCCAGGTGAAACTGGGCGTGTTGGACAAACAGAACGGAGATGCCATCGCTACCTATGATGACAGGTAGACTTGCATACATGTACTTTCTAGTAGCTCTATGCCACTGTGGAAAATTCATAAAGATAGCAAAGTATGTAAAATACAATCTTTATTCAATAGAGAAAAGAAAGTGACATTAACCACAGGTGACGTCCTACAGCCAAAGAGCTTGTGAAAGTTTTCCAGTAAGATTTTCCATGTAGTACGGTAATACCGTATGTACAATGTAAAAATATGCTTACGTGTAACGTTATCTTCTGTTCTATTGCAGACTAACAGAGACTGGCTGGGGGGTGTTGAACGTGGTGTCTGGGTTCGGTCCTAAGAAGCTGAGTGACAATGACATCATGTACCTGGCAGGGTACCTGGAGGGAGTCCTCACACAGGAGTAAGTACTATGTCTGGTCTGGCCACACTGTGCTGCAGTTCTTACTAAAGCTGCAAGGATTATATTGTGCATTACAAATGTTCCCAAGGAGGCCAAACCTCCTATGGGTAGAAACATGCCTATTTTAAAAGCTGCTACAGAAGATGCAATAACAATAATCTTGATTCTTATATTTCAGGAGAATATACCAGCATTACCTGAACCTGTTTGGGATCTTTTTCCAAGGAAAGTCGACAGATTTAGTCAACAAGGTATATTATTTTCTGCTACAATATGTTTAATGATGCCTTGAAATCCCTCTTTTTCTATCGTCATGTTTGGATAGAAATGCACTTTCCCTGTCAAATTATGATGTAGAAAAACAGTAACACAATCTTATCTATGGCATGACTCATTTGTATGGAGCATTACAGATATAACATTAGAAAAGATAAATAGATACATGGAGGTGAATTTTTTCTCATGCAGTGAATTTGCAGGCTCACAATTACTGTACATTATCTTATTATCAGTCTTTATGTTGTTTGTCCCCTGCAGGTGAAGAAGTTCTACAGAGCTCAGGACACCTGGGTGCGAGCGCAGGTGAAACAGTCGACAGACCCTGTCATGGAGCACCTGTCCTACATCCTGTCTCAGTACGATGGTCTGGTGAAGGGTTACAATGACAATGTCGATGAAACAGTGGTATGTATTAAGTGATTTTCATGTTTTGGCAATCTCTTTATCCCATTCAATTTGTTTTAAGGCCTAACGTACCTTGTCATGCCATCATTATATCAACCAACAAGCTTGGAAGTGTTTGCAAAGATTAATTTTGGGATAAAGACATCAGAAATACGAAGGAAAAACTATGAATACTCTAAGTTGGGTTTTAGAGTTCAAATATAGCCCGCTCTCCTATAAATTGCTTTATTGACTTAAAGTTGTGTCTTTTGCATCCTCTTCCAGAAACTGGACATTTTTGCCTTCCAACTGCTGAACGGAAATGGTGACACGTTTGACATCATCCCCTCTGTGAACCCTTCATCACGGCCAAACTTCTCCAACATGAGTCGGGGTGACCTGGAGGACTGGGTGTCGTCACACAGCCACTGTTCCGCTCTTGTTAAGGTCATCACAGTTCCTCCGCAAATAAAGAGAAATGATGAAGTTTTCCTGCTGACAAACAAATCGAGCTAGCCTCTATTTTAGCCTAGGTTCCACCCTCCGTAGTTCCTGCCCACTCCCTAATGTGGCTGGGCCCAGCAACATTACAAAGCGGGCGAAAACTACAGAGGATGGCACCCAGGCTAACTCTCTTCCACAATCAGTTATATTCTTTTCAGGTGCTTCAAAACACACAAGATGGAGATATTATTAGATATGACTCTTAACTGGTGGTCATAAATGTTTTGTTTTAGAAGCTCAATAAAGCATAAAGTACACCTGACTCCCTTCTATTTCCACAACCCCCCTCCCCTCAGGATTTACCTTGACAAAATCATGAACATATATTATGTACCTTGTGTTTTAGGTTCTGGGTGCATATGAGAACGTGTACATGTCCCACTCCAGCTGGTTTAACTATGCTGCCACCATGCGCATCTATAAACACTACAACTTCAACATCGCCAACCCTGCCACTGCTGCCAGGAGGATGTCCTTCTCAAGTTATCCAGGTCAGATGTCGCACTTAACAAAGATGTTCCTATGGATTATACAAGGAAGACAGGCTTTTTATGTGTTAAGGGCTCAGATGGTAGTTTATAGATATATCATCATCATCATTGTAGTTATATATACATGTACATCATCATTATGATGTCTGGTTGCCTGGGATAAATCCACTGTACTTTTCCAAACATCTCTACTGGTAGATATCTTTCAATCTACTACATTTTGGAGCATAGAATATGATTAACATGTCAAAGATTTATGTTATTGAAAACAGTTCCATTTTCCTTTGTACAAAATTACAGTTGCATAGTAGTAGAATATAACTGCTAAGCATCCAGTTATTGGGTATTGACTTTCATTTGCTTGTATACAATCCAATGAATGTATGTCCATACTGGTACGGCACTTTTGTATCAAATCATCACTGTTCCCACATATGTACTGCACAGGTTATCTGGAGTCCCTGGATGATTTCTACCTGATGGACAGTGGACTGGTCATGCTGCAGACCACCAACAATGTCTTCAACACGACCCTGTATGACCTGGTCACTCCTGAGTCCATCCTGGCCTGGCAGCGCGTCCGCACAGCCAACATGCTGGCCAGAACTGGTGACCAGTGGGGGGCCATCATGAATGTGCATAACTCAGGTGAACTACAGTTGATGTACATATATCAGTATACATTTAGAAAGGAGAGTGATCCAGTGTTAGCTCACGGAAGAGCTACTCTTCCACTGGTCCACAGAGAAGACAGATGTTGTGTACAGTATTTACAGTACCAGGAAATTCCCCTAGGTTGCTTTGACTATGCAAGCACGATGAACAGTGGACCACAGCTTAACATCCCATCCTAAGGACTGCAACCCATTACAGTACTTTTAGCGTGCATATCAGTTGAGCGACAACAGCTGGGATTCGAACACCAGGTCCAGAGGCAGGGGCGCTAACTACATGGTATACGCACACTTCTCATGTTACAGAGAGATGCAAACATGTAAGGGTTTTGCTCTAACTCTAAGCCTTGGAGATAACTCCAGGCACTTCTGCTGTCAAACTGTGATGTTTCAAGATGCCAAAGGCACAGATGTAAAGCTTGTAATATCTAAATAAAGTTCTTTTGAAGAGACCTAGAAGTTCTCTATTCCCATTGGAATGCAGGCACCTACAACAACCAGTACATGATCATCAACCTGAACCTGATTGAGCTGAAGAAGACCATCCATGACGGGGCGCTGTACGTGGTGGAACAGATCCCAGGACTGGTCATGTCAGCTGACCAGACAGACATACTCCGGGCAGGTACAACACACCTACTGTCTACGTACCATTTCAGCATGATAGACGTTTACAAAGCAGTTAAGAATTCAAAGTATTGCTAATTGGTAGCCTGACTTGTAGTAACTTACCTCAGATGGTACAACAGATAATGATGATATAACAGTAGCTAACAACCCAAAGTTGCCATCTATGGAAGGAACCCATCCTACACATGGTAACAGTGAACATTTCATTGGCATGTATAGAATGTCTTTTGATGGTACTTGCTATGCTCAACTCGTGAACTTTATTTGAAAATCAAGTCAATGTTCTAACCATTGTGCGAGACTAAATTCATAAGCAGTAAAACTTCCTTTTCATCCTTCAGGCTACTGGCCATCTTACAACGTCCCATTCTACGAGAAAGTGTACAACATGAGCGGGTACCCTGACATTGCCAAGTCGCAGGGCCTGGACTACACGTACCAGCTGGCTCCCAGGGCCAAGATCTTCCGCAGGGACGCAGGCAAGGTCAAGGACATGGAGTCTATGAAGGCCATCATGAGATACAACGGTGAGCACTCCAGGACCTGGTACTCTTCTTATCAATTTATCTCCTGAAAATGTTAGCTTTGATTGCTCTGATTGTACCTGAACTTACCGGTTTATTGTGTGGAACAGCAGAAATTTCATAACTTCAGTCATAACTTATCCTGATGAAGGTAAGCTGAGTGCCCGTTGAAAATTTGATCCTTGTGTACTTTTCTGTTCTAATAAAGTTTAGCATCATACCATGATTACTACCAACACAGATGAACTTTTATGAGAGCAGATTTTTCGCTTTTTTTCAGACTACCTCCACGACCCCTACTCCAAGGGCAACCCCTGTAGTACCATTTGTTGCAGAAAGGACCTGGCAAAAGTTGGAGCTCAGCCAGATGGCTGCTATGACACAAAGGTAACAAAAAACTACATGTAAACTGATGAGAGCCAGCATTTTGAGGTTGGTCCCAACTCTGACAGTTGGAGCAGGTACAAACTGAGTAAGCTGGATCTCATGCTACTACAACCTTTAAGAATATTTTATGTCTTCTTGAAGTATGAATTTGCTATATTTGGTATGTATACTTACTGCAGAAAAAAGCTTGACTATTCTTGTATATTTTTATTCTTTTATGATTCCACCAACATTCTTAATTTGTGCCACATATGTTTACTAGGTACAGTAAGTGAGAAGAAATCAGGTCTGTTCTGCCGGCTAATTCACTTAAACTTTTTATTCATTTTTCAGGTGTCTGACTACCACATGGCTAGAAACTTGACATCGTTTGCCATCAATGGTCCAACACTGGGCACAGGCCTGGAGCCCTTCAGCTGGTCAGACAGGTTTAAGATATCACACGTAGGGCTGCCGAAGGTTTACAACTTCAGCTTTGTTACCATGACACCTGATGAACTTTGAACTATGACATCTAACATTGGATATACTGATCCCTGACATAAGGATGAAATGATAATATAATTTGATTAGTAATTAAATTATAGTAGTCTGTAGGATTTCTGCCCTTTTTTGCTTGTTTTTAGTGGTGCTGAACATGTTTTCAGACACCTTTCTGACTTTGCACAGTTGACTTGCCTTGCACTGAATAAACATGCAACCAGATGTAGTTCTCCCAATGCCTTTTCCTACCTACCACAATGACAGTGGTAATAAAGATTCTTTTGCACACCAAACAAAACAGCATATTTGGTTATAACACATGATTTTGATCTTCAGTAAAGTAAAGTAGTTACACTTCTATTGAGTTGAACCATGATGTTTTACCCAATCTCCATAGTGCAATGCCAAGCATACTGGGTCACCCTAGGCCTACATTTATCCATAAGTGTTTTGGGTTCTTTGACATGCAGAGGTTTAAGGCCTTGGACTTCCCCATAAATGACTACTAGTCTAAGAATAACTGGTTATTGGTTAATTAAACACAAGGATTAGAAGAGTTTTTATTTTGAGGTGGGATGAACCACTTGATTGAGATACATATAATGTATTTGGACAGTTTGCACAAAGTAACAATCAAGATCATGATGTTTTTAGACATATTTACCACTGATTATGTCAATGGTGATGACCACTTAATCTTATATGATAAATTGATAGCAACCATACCTCATTAGAAATACATACTGTCCACATAATCATTACTTCTATATAGTCCCACAGGCTTTGATATTTGTGACAACTTCAGTACAACAGTATTTATGAGTCTTGTATATGGGAGATATTCTATTATACCAGTAATTACATGATGTACATGTTGAAAATGTGCCATACCCTGGTACCTTATTGTATAAGCTTTAAGTATGTCAGTAATCAGTAGTGTGATTGCAGTGTTTTGACATACCTTGGATGGTAGCATCTATTTATAGTCAAGGATTCAAATGTGTATTACACTCACATAGCACACATACATCAGTTGACATACATTTATTGCATTGTACGGGAGGTCATTTAACATGAAGCTGAACAGTTGGGACCAACAGATTGCAGTTATGCCCTCCGAAGGGCTGCAATTACATCATCTGGGCTTTGCCAGCAGGCTGGGATTCGAACCCCTGACTTAATGCCACCAGGAAAAAAAGTGCTCACCACTTAAACTAACTGCTTGTTACTTGCAGTGAACTGAATATCCTGCTGGCAGGAATGGACTTCTTTTGGTTAAAGCATTTCATGCTTGAACATCAGATTCTATATCTTTTGCCAGTGGAAACTTTTCCATAGGTATGAAAGGAAAGGTTTATCCACTAGTGAGGGGTTTGGTTGTGAGCTATTATAGTCTAATTTCCAACATGTTGTATGAGAGCAGCTGTTTGGTTTGCACAGATCGAGGCTGTATAGTTCAGGGTTAGGTGACTAGAGGAGACTGGTTGACTAAGTCGGTATCCCATTGTGAGCTATCAAAGCAATATTTGACAGGCTGCTGTTATCTGAGAAACTGCAAGTCAAAATGCAATATGTAGTACCAGATGGAGGTACAAAAACATGGCTGTCAGAATGTGATGCTTGTCAAGCTGTAACTCGCTAGTGATGTGTTGATTGATATGTTATGGATGCTGCTATACTTGATGATATGACAATGTATCAATATGATTTGACATCAATATAGTTCTCTTTTTGCCATACACAGCTGGACAGTGATCTAAGATGTACACGTATACGTATGACAGATGATACCGTATGTATCAATACGTAAAGAATCAGTACTGAAAGAATTTGTCTATATTGTACATCTACAATATTGTGTGCATAGGCCATTTGTCTTGGTTATAAAAAATTCATTTGAAATCAGGAGCTAAATGTTTGTATACTTCACATTCATTTTGAGCAATGTGTTGATCATGGAATAATCTGGGTACAGTAATATATGGTTTAATTAGGAAAATAATTGTTCTAAAATTTCAATAAAAATGGATGGTAGTGAAATATATTTTTGGTCTAAGTTTTTAAGCATATAAATTATCGCTTCATAACTCAAAGTGTTGTATTATATAGGCTACATCGACTGCTACGCAACATCACATCCAATGTACTATGTAGGTCAATGACCTGAGTGGTCATCGAACTGCAATGACTCTGCTTGACATACACTTTACATGGCCTCTCAGTAGAAGCCAGTTGCTTTCGTTTTATCTGCCACAACTTCCTCCGTGCTTTCAAGCTACCATGTCCAACTTCAGTCGGTTCCTATTGACTCTCCTCAACCGTAGACTTGGCCCTGGTTTGTGTTTATGTTTGTTATTCAAGTTGGTTACCGTTGCTAGAGATCAGTAGAGGTTTCCCACAGTAGAGAGTGTTCAGACAAAAACACATCCTTAGAAGTGGCTGGCAGTTGTGGCATACTAGGATAGGGTACAAAGATGTAGTGGTTAGGAGTTGTAGCGTTGTCTATAAAGATGTATAAATTATAATAGATTTTAAGTCCTCCTTTGCCAATACATTCGTGTATATGGTGGTACCTTTATCGAGGTGTCTGAGAATATCACATTGCCAAAGTCAATTATACCGTACTTTGATAAACAGACGGACAAAGTAAAGACGTAAATACTATGATGTGCCAGAAATGTCAGATTGATCTGACTATGTTGTATTATTACCTGTAAATGTGACGAACCGGACGTATTACAAGTCACTATTGAAATTCTGAGAATAACCCCTTTGAATCTATTTAGATTCAGTGACCCCACTGCCCTTCCAAACATCGGTCTTAATTGAATTGGCGCCAAACTACATCATGACAACACAGGTTAGCCATATCGGTGACAGAGTACCTGTCTAGTTTTACCAGCACGGCGTGTATTTTGTTAAGGGTCAATATCACGAAACAAAAGATGACATTGCAGTCCATTGAGACGGGTACAGAATTTCTGAAGTTCTGAGAACCCTTTTCATCTGAGCTGTTCTTGAGCTGTTCTTGCCTCGACGTAAAACTCCAAACGGTCTTATAATTTACAAGCAGACAAAATAAGTCACATCGGTAAAACTGTCAGTAGTTTATCAGTAAGCAGAAAAAAATAAAGGACTCAACCCATTGGGATCGATATTGAGTGACAGGTTCAGACGTGGCACGTACTACATATGTGTGGCATATATAAACAAACACTATTCATTCTGATAAACACTTATAAGTTGTGTAGATTGTATGGAAGTGTTTGTCGACAGTGTTCATGGACAGTTTTGTTCACCCAAGCAAAGCAGGACCACCTGTGCTGCAGCCAGATAATTTTTGCCATTCTCCAAGTAGAGGTAGGAGGTTTTGGAGTGGCTAATAGGGATGACCTGGACTTTTAGCGCTGCAATCCCTGTGAGAGGAAAATCGCGGCGGACTCCTAGCCCTCTCGACCGAAACATCTGTCTGGAGATTTAACTTTTTTTGCAAGGCTTGACGTTCCTTGACAAGATGTTGGTATCATTGGTCAAATTGTTCCCCCTGTACTTGGATTGTACGGTACCCAACTGAAGAACGATTTTCTCGACACGCTTTATTTTGAAACAAAACATGAAAGGTCTGTATTTTCTGCCTATTCCGATCTAGAATGCCATTGCTTTTATCTATTAACGTGTCACGCAGTCACCTTTCTCACACCAAAAAAGTTGTATAATAAGCAAAATTATACAAATGGTCAAAATATCAACACAAATATCAAAGTTGAGTTCTCTAAAATCGACTGGCATGTCACATACACAGTGTCACATTCTGTCGAATTTTCAGCCACTGCACACATTATATTATCATAAGAATAACAAAGTTCCTCAATTAGAATTTAAAAATCGTGACATTGAACATTATATTACAAATCACAATACCACTACTCTGTATCATTCAAGATACGTTGTATACATAAATCTACAATCATAGCTCTAGAGTTTACCGTTGTATCTGAAACACCATTACCACTTGTAACAATGCATACACCCAAAATGGTATGAAATCAATACATGAAACATTATAGGTTCAAAATCAATCCACAAAACTGAGAGATATCTTCCCTTTATAAGTTTCACAAGTCACATGTCCATTCGTTATTACATTGTTCTTGCCTTTGGATCTTGATTGAGACACATTATCATAGATGACAAAGTCGAAGAACCTGGCAAATCCCTGTACATCATGACGTAGGGGCGTCGCTTCAAGTGACGTCAGACATGTCTCAGGTCAGAAATGTCGTCATGGAGACCATGTCGTCATTACGTCATATGTCATGGCGTCGTCTGTACGTAAACGGACAGTTCACTTTGCCAGGTCCTCTCTTAGGCAGTCGCCCAAGTGCCGATGGGTTCTACTACGTATTTGATAGTTTCCAGGTAGGATATATGCTGGGTATCACAAAGGAAGAAAGTTAAACGTCACAACAAATTTACAAACAAAAAAAAAAAAACATGACGATGCCCTTCTTCCACAAATTGATACCCGCACTGTAACGTTATATTTTGGCACACACTCTTTAAAAAGTTTGAAACACCGAAACTTAATATGTACATGTTATTTTCGATATAGGTATCGCATCATCATTTTGACATCAACCAAACGTGACGTCACTCAGACTGATACCTATGTCTACAGGAGAAGGTCGTTTGAGAAGACGGCCATAATGAATGACGTCACGATGACGACAGTGCTGACGTAAGCTGTAGGAGTTCCCACAGATCCAGGTCCCACGAGGGTCTGGCCGACGTCGTTACACATGGCTGAAGTACAGCAGCGGCGGCAAACCTACGGTCACAGGGAAAAAACATGGTTTTAAAATGGTTCAAATGTTAGTAGAAGGCTACAGAATCAAGCTGCAAGATTTCCTATGAACAAATATGAAAGGGGTGCTAGTGTCACGGAAAAAAAACTGAGAGTACATGTAGGTCTGAGACAGTATAGTGTCGATTCAGTGCTATGCAGTAGCAGGCGACTCTATGAAATTTTAGGCGCAAATCGAAGGCGGGATAGTTTTATCTGAAAACTTTAATCATTTCCGAATGAATTAACTTGTAAATATTTTATGATAATAAAGAATTGTGAATATGTAGGTTGCAATTAGACATTCTGCATAATTCTGGAGAATTAGCTATTTTCCGGATTTAAGTGATTGTCCGGAATTATACTGTTTTCAAATTTATGTCGACATACCGAAAGGCCGTTGGCATTCTCGCACTGTTCAGTTTGCTTCTGCTCGGTGCACTCTCCATCGTTCACATCGCTCCGCCCACATCCTCGGGAGATCGTGAAGTCACCGCTGGTGGTGTTTTCCTCACGGTAAACCTGTACACAATGATGTACACAATGAGACATTAACATGTTCTACATCGCCAGTTCATTCTCAGTAGGGAAGACTGTTGAAACTAGAGTTCCAAGAACGCGTACCTCCGCAAGGCGCATCCTCCCACTTTGATTTTTGCACATGAGTGTTCCATTTGAGGATAGCAGGTTTCAGTGATCATTCAAGGAGAACCGAACAATGAAAAAAATGTATGTCCCTTTGAAAAGAAACATTATGATAAAAAAGAGTAAAGTTATTCGAAGGCACAACAACGAAATGATATGTTACGATACGTTACTCCAGTCAGTAGATGCGTCACTTACCCAGCAGCCTGCAGCTGTGTTGCAGGTGATATTAGTGTTCCAGGTAGTTGCAGCGGCTGTCCGACAAGGGTCGTTACTGTCGTCTGTCCCGTTACAGTGCAGACAGGCGAGTATTGGCTGTGAGGGAGAAATGTTTGACAAAAAATGTGTCATTATAGTGCATCCCTAGCTGGCTGCCGATGAAACGTTACTTTATAAAACATCAAACATTTCAATAATCTAAATCATTACGTCACATGTGAAATACAGCATCTGATAGTTATGATGGCATTTATGCTAGTCATGATGGCACCCATATCCTTGGAGTGGCCTTCGGAACACACCTTGAATTTGTTACATGTTATTAAGTAAAAAGTGAATGAGTAAAACACACACACACACACACACACACACACACACACACACACACACAAACTATATATTTCATCCATAGCATGGACTGAAATATAAAAATTATGGTGGGACTGCCGAATAGATTCAGTTTTGCGCTTACAATCTCAATTCAAATCGCTTACATGATATTTTGTATGTAATTGTATTGACCAGATGCTTACGCTTCGGGTTGTATCTGGCCCAGGTGCAGCTGTGGTGGTCGGACCTGTGCCAGGTGCAGCTGTGGTGGTCGGGCCTGTGCCAGGTGCAGCTGTAGGTCCGGAAGCTGTTGATGAGCCTGCAGGTGCTGCGCTGCCAGATGTTGATGAGGCTGCAACTGTTGTGGTTGCAGCTGTCGTGTCTGTAGTTGCTGTGTTTGCAGTTGGTGTAGCTGCACTAGTTGAGGAGGCCATAGCTGCATTTACGTTGAAAACAAAAGATAGAAAGACCCCCCAAAAGTTAGGAAGTGGCATATTTCCTAATAGTTGCGTTGTGTTAACTAATTGAATACTTTTCTTAACATTGGACACGAATATTGAAAACAGAAATTTAGAATACAATTTCATCTTTAATTGTCAATAGAATTTGTAAAGCAACCAACTAGACGAACCATCTAGTATAACCGTTTATTTACGCGTACGCGGTTGGCCTACACCTGTACCTCAAGCTAGATACACTATTTTTTACACAAGAGTGAAAATAACCCCTAAACGCTGATAAAACACATGAACAAATTTCAGTAACAAGACTGATAGGAAAATGTTTCGCAGGGATTATGTACACTTGTTGCGAGTTTCATGTTGTTTCCTGCATATGAACTTTTCACCCGGAAACCCAGTCATGCCGAAAGGCAACGGACCATATATTACACGGCAAGCCGCCATCTTGTATACAGAAAAAAACATAAAAATCAACCTTTTCAGTTTCAACCTAACGGCTGAGTGACAATAGATTTTTCTACATTCTAGACGTTTTAAGAAACGGAAAGGAAAGTTTCGATATCGTTTCGTAAAGATGAACCTGTGCGTTATAGCAGGAATCTTAATTGGTAAGAAATTCCACTTACCTGCCATAAGAAGGACTAAGAATGAAAACTGTGTAGCAGCTACCATTTTGAGACGTTTGTGAGAACTCCTTTAAGAGCGTTAAATCTGTCCGCTTTCCTCAGAGCAAAGCCCTACGCCACGGCACAGTTTAAAGTCCTACTGAGCATGAGCCACCAAACGTTGCCTAGCCTATCCTGTTCAGTGTTTGTGTTAGTATTGGCAGTCACCTTGGCATTACCATGGTGATTTTTGTGGAAACGCGCCAGACATATATTATCGCTACATGGTGTAGATTTCACTATCTTCATTACACATCAAAATTCAAGTCATGTATCTTCGACACCTTTGCATGGAGTCTTCATGTGTCTTGTCACAGCTACAAGAACGATGTGATGCCATCTTCAGATGGTAAAGTGTTGGCAAATTCCCATCCGTAAGGTACTGTCTGTTGTGGTCTGTAGATAAAATCCTGCGGTTTGTGTGCTGTTACGCACAGCTATGCTCACGCGACGTTTACAAAGTATATACCTTCGGAACTCTATGAACTCAGTCCCAGCGCCTTTGATGTCTTTGTTGACATTTCTACAAGACCACTTGTTGTGGTGTCATCCGGTTACCTTACCTTGGCAAGGTAGGGACATTCCGAAAGCTCGTCGTCATGTTTCTGCAGCCGTGCGTAAAAAACAGGCAACACACTCACTCAGGGCCAGACGGTGTCCGAACTCTTGTCTGTCTGACTTCTGAGTCTATAAGATGCGCTGCATGTTCGTTCACAACAATGCGGGATTTCTTCCACGTGCTTCTTGTAGAGGATGATCTTGAAATGAAGCGGATGATCTTTTCTAGGAGATAGAAAAGGACTGAGGTAAGACACCTTAGTTCTCTCTTGAAGAGTATGGGTTTGTTAAATATAACTGTGAAAAGATGACACAACATAACTAGCTATAGCCTTGTCACGAACGGAAGTACATCGATTTTCAGCCCAATGGTATTTACTGCAGAGAACTTAATTCGTTCTTACAAAAAGGTGCAATTCAAAACAGGTTTGCCTGAACTGAGGCGGCTTTTTTTTGTTATTTAGAAGCAGCGTATTTTTCATCTGTGCTAAGCCCAACATGGCAAGCTCCACAGCAGTTCCACTGCGATTGGTGCGACTTGGAGGAATGACACCTTTTCTCTGCAAGCATGAGGTACAATTCATCTAAATTCGCAGTTTGTAAAATGATATGTCTCTAAAGTATAACGTTGCTCCTGAGTACGATCCATTCCAGGCGTTCTTTATCGTTCATACGGAATATAATCCATTTTAGTGTTCTTTTTTAATTAATCAGAAGTAAACTGGGACACCACATCCTCCCATGGCAGGGTCAGCGGCTCCGAATTCCTTCTCCACCCCTACAGGGGTGGAGAAGGAATTTGGAGAAGGAATTCGGAGCCGCTGACCCTAACCATAACCATAACCCTAGCTAAAAAAAATTCGATCAAAACAGGGACACCACATCCTCCCATGGCAACCCTAACCCTAACCATAACCCTAGCTAAAAAAACAATCGATCAAAACAGGGACACCACATCCTCCCATCCCTACAGGGGTGGAGAAGGAATTCGGAGCCGCTGACCCTAACCCTAACCATAACCCTAGCTAAAATTCGATTAAAACAGGCCATAAGACTAAGCCCCTTGTACATGTGTAGCGGGCGTCTCACGACCAGTTTGCGTCTCACGGACACGGTAGTGTACTGCAAGGCGCGGCTGCCATTTTTTGGCTAGAGCGCTCCTATACTTCTATGTAATACAATTGGTTGCATCGGATGAATCTGATACGTAGGTAGAATTTTCAGGACACCCGGAAAAGTACGGAATCCCCGTAAAAGATGGGAAGAGATCGTTTTCTCCTGTAATCGGAATCGTTCGCCGTCCGACCGGTACCAGTCGGAAACCTTCGGCTGTCGTGACATACCGAAGCTGTAGAGGGCGCTTCGTGCGTTAACAGTCGCCACTAACGTCACTCAGAAGATTACTAGTACATTTTAGAAAAGAAGGATTTGAGGAATAGACACGTAGATGCTTTATAGCAGGAACATACATATGCGAATTATGCCAATGATATGGAGGGACTTTTGTTGGTTTCAGCTTTGATCTTTAGAGCAATACAAATACAATGGTGTACATGTAGTACAATGTGAAGCGATTGGATCCTTTTTAGGTCAAATTTGAAATCTCTATGCATTGAACGTCACAATTAGTGGTTGGTTATTTCCCGTTAGGATCTTCTGATAACCTACTACATTCAACTCTCTATGTACCATTTGTAACGTCCACTCTCTCTTTTGTTCGTTTGTTTGGTGACTCGACATCGGAAGCAAGTTAGATACTCGTAAACTCGTACACTCGCACGTAGTGCGAAACCACTGGTCCTGTTTTTCCATTACGTAGCGGCGATGGCTCTATTCTATTCTACTCTATTCGTTTAAAGTGTTAACGTACGACCGTGCCAGTCCACTGTTGGTACCGATTGCCGACGAGAGCGGGTTCAGAAGGGCAACAGACACGGTGCCCTGATACCTGACATCCGATTCATGGTACTGTCAACAAACGTCTGAAAGCGTGAGTGGTGCGGTGTCGGGTGGACATACTCGTAGGCACCTGTGCGGTGCGTGCATTTCCTCTTGCGTCATGCATGGATCTCCACTGCTGTAACACAGACACAATTAGAAGAATAAAATTTATCTTATATCTGTTCCGCAGATGAACTGAATAATGGACATGTGAAAATGATTTTACAGTGTCATCTTTCAATCGGGAAAGAAAATAATGTCAGTATTTCTCTTGAGAGTTTATTTATACTGGCTATTGGGGAATTTGGGTCCTGTACTGTGAAATGTTAAAAATGTACCGGTAGAGAAAATTTGAATGGAAGATGGAAACTGTTTAAAGTTTTTTTTTACCGAGTAGTTTGGCGACGAAACGTTGACTAATGCTTTTCGCGGAATTCCTAAATAGGCCTTGGTGTATTCTTTACATTGTAAACAGCGTGACCGTAAGTGAGACATCGTTGTATAATGGTCACCAAGGCATGAGTTACAAAACATGGGTTTCATTATGTTTATCATGTGTTCATCCTGTTTAACTAAGATTAGATTTTTTTCCGTGTAGGTTGACGATGGAACGTTGACTAATTCTTTTCGCGGAATTCATATATGGGTACTAGTATATTCTTTACATTGTAAACAGCTTGACCGTAAGTGAGACATAGTTGTACAATGGCCACCTGGGCATGCGTTACAAAACATGGGTTTCTCATGTTTAACTCACCTTTATTGCAATAATGGCCTCGCCCAGGTTGCAATAACAAACCCCGTAGCGTACACATACACTCACGTACACCACTCATTTCCCACTGGCGAGCACATCGACAGGACGTGTGACATCTCGCTGCGACTTCTCCTCATAGAAAGCAGAACTTACACCGCTTTGGAGTCACCATGAAGATTACTGTGGCAGTTCTCGTTGTTCTAGGCAAGCACTTCTTATCTTAATTTGACGTGTTTTGGTCTGTCGCAGTTATGAAGAAGTTGTATTTGTACTCGTTTGTAGTTATGGACAACGTGAAAGGGTTGCAGTGTACCACAAAGAGATAGATACCAACATCACAGTTTCACAATTTTTGCTTTTTCTTACAAATTTTCTAACGTTCATCTCATTTGGCCTTTCGATGAACTCCAAGATGCTTCTGGCTGTAGTAGACAAGTGCCTCAGTGGTGGTACAATTTCTGATGTGTTCTAGTCTGGAATTTTTGGAATGTGACTAACCGTATTTGTTTGCGGTTGCCACTGACTACAGCGAAATAACGGTGGCAGATAGAGAAAGTGTCATCAGTGGGTGACAACTTGTCAGTTGTTAGGCATATTTAAAAAGTTAACACTGTGTATCTTAGGGTCTGGCAGAGATCTGTCGTATTCTATGCTTACAGTAAAGGATAACACCGTTACACATGTAGGTGCTGGGCGGAAGTACACTGTTCTCTATGTAACGGTAAGAACAGTACTACCTACGCACTACGGAAGTGTTAAGTTGAACGTGGATTTCACAGGAAAATTTCCAGGTGTAATTACTCCAGATGACAGCTACTTTGTAGTGTTTTACAAATCATCCTTACCTATACTACAATCGTTACCAATACTGTAATGTAACTAACGCTATGTGTATCCAGTCGTGTGTGCGGTTAGGGAGAGGATCGCGTTTTGTGTTTGTTTCCGCTAGCCTGGTTACCAAACCTATTTTAGCTACCGGGTCTCTTGACCCTCCGTCAAGAGACTTCGTAGCTAAAATAGGTTCGGTAACAAGGCTATGTTTTCGCCGAAACACCGAGTAAGTGTGTGCCCTCACTTACATCTACCCCTATACGAGCGATCGCCGTCATGGGAGTGGTAGGCAAAGGCGGGAGACAGTTGGGTGATTTGTCTACCGTTAAGAGCAATTGTATTCTAAATAAAAACAGCGATCGCTAAAGTGAGCAAAATTCAGCTCAAATCAAGTGACAAAAAGATATTATTTTACACACATTTACAGCGGTGGCGCGGGCACAGGCAGCCTCAACGGTTGCAGCGACAACAGCTGCAGCTACAACAGCTGCCGCTACAACAGCTGCCGCTACAACAGCTGCAGCAGGTGTAGCTACAACAGCTGCAGGAGGTGGAGGTGGAGGTGTAGCTACAACAGCTGCAGGAGGTGGAGGTGGAGGTGTAGCTACAACAGCCGCAGGTGGAGGTGGAGGTACAACTGGCGCATCTGGAACACAAGCTCCGGTATCGTGCACGTTTAAGTTTTGATAAGTTCGAACGTAATATGATACAGAGGGTCCACAGGCGAGTCTTACATTTTCCCGACTTTCTACAAACCAGGTGTAAGACCCAACGGCCTTGTTAACAAGTTCTCTAGTCAAAATGTCGTCAGTATCTTATTGTTACAAATGCCAAAGTTTGACGTAAGGCCCAAGTCTGACTTGGGATCAGTATGCTTGATTGTCTATAGCAGCAGAGTACATGTGATGAAAGTGAAAGTGATCTCGAACCAGTTAAGCTCTTCCACCGTTCGTGACAGAGAAGACAGACGTTATGTACAGTATTTACAGGTTCACTGTACCAGGGAAATTCCACTAGGTCTTTTATCGACAGGCACAATGAACAGTGGACCCCTGTCCTAAGGACTGCGACCCTTAACAATAGCGTGCATGTCGGGTGAGCGACAACAGCCGGGATTCGAACGCCTAACCTCTTAGGATCGCTACCCATGTATACAGCCCTAGCAGTAATGAACCGTGACGTACATGTACATGTACATGTACATGTACATGTACATGTACAGGTGATGCACGCACAAACCGGGGCTCTAACTCTGTCTGGAGATGGTAGCACATGTCTTCTTCTAACGTGTTACTCTCTGTGCCTGTCCCACCAGTCGCCGGTGTCCTGTCTGTCCTAACGTGTTACTCTCTGTGCCTGTCCCACCAGTCGCCGGTGTCCTGTCTGGTCTGTAACGACTCGCACGCCTCCTGTGAGAACGCCACGGACACCTTCAACATGACCATGATGTGCACCGGGGGATGCTGGGTAGGTACATGATATCTGTTGGATGAGAGAGAAATGAAATGCGTAATGCCATTGAAGTACAGAAGGATGACATGTTTTACACTAGAAGTATGGTATCATAACCAATTCAGTTCAATGTCCTACAATATGAGTTCCATGGCCTGCTCACATATACTGAGATGAAAATCTTAGCACGTGTAACGTGGAAAACATCCAACGTCTCCACAGATAGAAAACAATATTTTGTACATGCGTTTCACCCATGCATACACAAAGCGATATCTTTGGAAGGTACAGTTTCTATACATTTTTTTCGAGAACGAATCCTAACAATACAGCTGTTGAAATAACACAGGGAAAGAATTAGATGCACACAGTTGATAGTTAACTTACTCCCTCCCCTTCCCCAGGTGTATCGTGAAGAGAGTAACAACGTCCCCACCATCTCCCGAGGCTGTGGCAGAAGTGACACGAACGACAACACCTGTGCCACCGAGCACATGAGCGAACGCTGCATGACTCTGTCCTCAGTCAGGGTAAGTCAGCGGCATTCAAGGACATGTGAACACCCCGAAATGTTGGGATGTTGAATCTCTTCAAGGTCTAGTAATAGTATAACAATTTAGCATGAAAGTGTCGGTGAATAACGTTGTTTAAGGTCGGTAAAGATGCATGCATGACCGTTGAATGTGAGCCAGTCAACCTGACCAGAGGCAGATCTCGAGGCCGAGTTCATTGTGTTTGAGGGAGGTGTGTTTGAATCATCATATCATGCCGAAATGGTTTAATTAGTCGAGATAACGAGTCAACAGATATATCGCAGCATTATCTCGATAAATTAAGCCATGAATTAAGTGCATGTTATAATTCTATGAGCACCAAAACAATGTTCATTGCGTCCGATCATTGAATTTTGAACGGTTTCAGACAAGCTCCCCAGCTACCAGTGTTATAATTCCATCTCCCCCTCCCAGGTTTGTCGTCGCTGTTGCAACACGGCGAACTGTAACCACGCAGACCTCGCACTGACTGGAACAGCGTCGGCCGCACACGTCAGCCTGGGCGTTCTCATGACGTCACTCGTCATGGCCCTGCTCGCAAAGATGTCTGCCTAGCGCCATGTGACGTCATATCATCCGTGACGCCATCACATCGTCTCTGACGACGTTATGTATTCTAGATGGTGTTGATGTGTCTGAATCTTAAATAGTACAGCAATGTATATTCACGGGATGTGTCTGAATTTTAAATAGTACAGTAATCTATATTGAGAGCTGCTCCATCTAAGAAAGCTGAGAAGGGGCGGTCGAGATTTTTGTGAATACGGAAGTATCTACCTTTCACAGCATGCATGAAACAATGAAAACTTTAGTGTCCACATACCCTAGTCATATAAACAAACCTGGCTGTAGTATAAAGTGTTGATAAAGATAACTACTTGAAAGTCAGCTTGAAGTCATTCTGTACATAATCAGGCCCAATGACAGGCGATGGAGTGACTTTGTACGCATACGACGGAGAAGGCTCTAAAATTACATCTTTCCGCACTTTCAAGAGGGTTCAGTCTCACAACGGATACTTTATGAAAGTTTGTCAGCGCTAAAACAAACATACGAAAACGCCATTTCTCCTGATGCATAACGAAGTATATACAACGATTATACACAATGACGTCACCTTGAAGGCTAATACTTGTACATGTATATAGAGTGGATTGACGAGATAATTTTCCTTACTGTTTACAATAAAGAAACAAAGATGACGAAGTTGTGGTTGTGCCAATAGTTTTGAGATCAGATAGTTCGGATACGATTGGTGGATGGATAATACAAGATATGTAAACCTTAGACCGTTGTCGGTGTTCAGGACATGAGCTCTTTTATGTACAAAGTTTGGCTAGGTGTGGTCATGTTTATATACCGCTCACCCGGTAATGGTTGCCATGTGAAGACCCAACAACAGCATAAAACGTTATCGCCAACAGGCTCTGACATGGAATGGTGAATCAAGTGATCCAAACGCTGCGATTAGGATCAAAGTTAGGAGGCAATTGTTACCAGGGAGGAATTACAATGTGTGCACACGCCACCCACCCCGACACATACTCAAATAGGTAGCACTAGCAGTATGATGAGACATTTTGGTTGTCGTAGTAATCTCCAAGCAGATTCTCTGGGTGGCTACAATACAGTATACCAGATTGGCAAGACAGTATCCAATTGGCCAGGCAGTATCCAATTGGCCAGACAGTTGAAACATTACGACGTTTTGTACTTTCGATGCCAAGGCCTGTCAGTTTAAGTTTCTTTTGGTTCGGTTTAATGTTTCGGTATCTTCTGCTTCAGCACAACGTTTGACCGTCTTGTTTACTTTGGTAACAACTTTGGTACTGTCTCTCGGGTTCTTTTCAGCTACCGGTTGTCAAGTTTGGATGTCCGCTTAGAATAAAAGACAATGTTTCTTTTGTTGTCTTTCAGCTGCGCAAATACGAAAATCAATATCGTCTTATTTGAATAACTCCTTCATAGTCCTTCGTAGGCGAAGACTTCGTATTTGAATAACTAGTTCCATGATATATCTGCTGCATTTCATGATAGGACTGTCAAACTGGTGACAAACATGTATGTAACTGAGATAGAGAGGAATTTACGAGGAAATGCTACAATAGTCGTCTTTGCTAAGATAAGACTTTCACACAATGTTAAGTCGAATGACAAGTTTATTCTCAGACACCACTATAAAATCCCAACTAGTTCTTGTGAAATTCAGCACACAGCGATACAGCAAATACATTTACCACGCCCAAAAGTAGAGTAATAGTAGATAAACTCATCACTGTATGCTGAGCGTCTATGTGATTCTATCGGTATCGTTGATAATTTTCTTATCTTTACTTATTAGTTGTTCTGTGTCTCTGTTACCTCCATTATATGGATATCAGCGATGCAAATAACGTCTTATAATACATTGAGATGCTGACAGTTAAGTACGGGTATACATAGGTAATCAATTCTATCTTTTTACAAAGGTAGCCAGAAATCTACGTTCGTATATTGTAAAACGAATTCCTAAAAAACTTACTAGTAAACGTGAATTATCATAAAAATTCCACACAATTTCAAATGGCTCATCTTGATACATCATATAGTTTGTTAACGTTTTCTTTTTCATTCTTTTAACTCAGCTACACTCTAATAGTTCACCTCAAACAGCCGTAGTGTTCTATAACATTGGTCGATCATAGGCTTAACAATCAGAAGTTAAAATGCGCCATCAGTGTACAAATATAGTTATGATGATCCGGAACAGAAATATGCGAAAGTTAAAAACGTGCATACTCACTCACAATACACAAGAGAATTTTTTTGGGCTTTCACTGAAGTATCAATCAATAATCAATTTGAGCAGGGGGTAAATTGCTATAATACTCATATCAGAACATTCCTTCGCGTCCGTTCTTACAGTATAAGGTATATCACTGTACTCATTCGACGCTTTCCTGTGCTCTTAATAAGTGCATAACGTTTTTGTACATTCGATTACACGCAGCGCGGATATTCATAATGTAAACTATAGCCAGATGTATGATCAGTGAGTCAATGGCTAAGAAGTCTTTTAAAGCCTGATGTCGGGTTCCTTGTAGATGATGTCTAGCAGGTTGACGTTGAGCTGCCCGATGATCTTGTAGCCGAATCTCTCCGCCTCCTCGCCTTCCCGGGTGTCTACTCTCATCTGCCGGTACCAGGAGAGGGGTGTGGTCATCATGCGGCGTTTGGCGCCCTTGACGACGTTGTACTCGGTCTCCAGCCGCTCCAGTGCTTTGCTGATGTCGTCCGCACGGGGGCCTCCCTCACCTCCGCCGGCGGCCAGGTCCATCAGCTCCTGCCGGGTGAAGTGTGTGCGGATCGGCCGGCCCAGAGGGAACTGGTTCTCGAAGCCAGCAGGGGCGCCGGCGCCGCCGACGATGAGAGAACCCGTGCTGGTCTTCTCGCCAGCCTCGTTGGTGATGGTGACTGTGTACTCGCCGGCATCTGACTCGGCCACGTTCTTAATGATGAGAGTCTGGACCTCATCGTCAGCTGAGATGAACTCATACTTGGGGCCTGAACGGATCATCTCCAGGCCACGGTTCCTGTGGAAAATGACAATAATTGTCAAAAAACGCAGATTTCCAACCCCTTTACATAGCTTTTTTAATAACGATATATGGAAACAAGAAAAATCTCCAAAGTTCTTTCTCACCATCTGATCTTCGGTGTTGGATAGCCTCCATATTTGACAGTCATCTGTGCTTCCATTCCAGTGTCGGTCCAGTAGTTGACCAGGGGGGTTTCAAAGAAGGGCTTGAGGTTGTGGCGGCGGCCAGGCTTGGCCCAGTTCTCTGTTAGAGAAAACAAGACAACGATGTCAGATATAGTCTCCCAAATCATATCCAACTTCCATTTTGAGTGTTTAAAATGATCTTCAAGATTTAAAGTGTGTAACATCATAACATAATCAAACTGTATCATTAGTATAACAATACATTCGTCGCGAGCATCTATTGCTTATGTAGGACTGGCTCCGTTCAATAATGGAATAATGTGTACGATGGGTCGTCAAAACGTTTGTAGATCAGTTGAAATAGAGTATATATTGTATACTACAGGTGTGCGGCAATACACGTACATGTAAACAACAGTTTTGTGATTCAGCAAAGCTAACGTACCCATGATCTTCAGCTTGGCAGTGGAGGCCTCCTTGGTGGGAATCTCCACCTTGTAGATGCCCTCGTCGTCGTATCTGCAGTCGGACACCCAGAGGATGTGCAGTCTGCCCACGATCTTCGTCTGGTACTTCTTCCCGGGCAGGATGTCTGTGTAGCCGCACATCCAGCGCACCATGATGTTGATCTTGGAGAGGACGCAGTAGTACAGGGCGGTGGTGCGGATGGGGACCTCCAGGTCTGTCAGCCCCTTCACAATGCGCAGCGGACCGGGCAGATCTGAGACAAAAACGTTATAAAAGGCACGGTCACAAGTGGACAACTGATCTCACAAATCAGATATCCGGCGTGTACGGATAGATAAATCATATACTCTGACAAGACATCGGGAGACCATGACAAATGTTTAGTGTCGAATAAACATGTATACGGTGCAAATATATGTATGTATATACTCAGAAAGAACGTCACGTCAAGTACACAGAGATGTGATGCTGACCCTGTTTGAGCGCCTCGATGTCCTCCTCCGAGAAGCCGAGCTCTGGCGGCACCTCTGGCGGCTTGGCCGGGGGCATGAGCACGCTGGTGCCGCCGGGCTTGCCGTCTCCGGCCGGGCTCTCAGCGACGATACGGAAGTCGAACTCCTCATCGGGAGTCATGTCCTCCACCAGGTACGTGGTCTCGTCTGGGCCAACCGTGACGATCTGGGAAACACAAACACATATGTTCATCCAATATCTTATCTGTGATCTCGTGATCTCGTGAAGATGCCTTATACATATAGGATACTGGTAGTTGTATCATCTCAACGCTCGATGGATTGTAATATCTAAGAAAGGGTTACACATCAAAACCGTAATCATACATGTTTATTGACCGTGAATCATAAGTTAGTGCTGGAAAGTATGATTATTTAGCAGAAAAGGGTAAACTGACCTGGCTCCATTCAGTGCTCCTTTTCGGCTTCTTCTCAATACGGAAGCCTGTAATGATGGATCCGTCCGTAGGGGGCGTCCAGTTCAGCCTGACGTTGGTCTCATGTCCTTTCTCGGTCTCCTCGACTGTTGCAGAAACATCTGTCGACGCACTGGGTTCTGGAAGAACGAAAGATGGATGTAGTTAATACTGTTCAACTGTTTTGTGACGAATATCAAATCCACTATGTGTTTACAACCTCCGAATGCACGTCGACACCTTCGAATGAAATTATCCACGCAATTTCCTCAGAAATAATGACTTATTAAAATCAGCTTACTCAAGAATTGCTTCAACGAGATAGTCTCGGTGATGGCAGGTTCGCCAGCTCCCGCCATGCTCTGCGCGATGACACGGAAGTTGTAGTTTTGGCGGGAATCGAGCCCGTGCACGTTGAAAAGCTCCTTCTCGTTCCCAACGTGCCCGATCTCAACCCAGTCCTCGTCGTTCTCGCCCAGTTTCTGGATGACGTAGCCGGTGACGTTGGACCTGTCCTTGGGCGGTTTCCAGTTGATGGTGACGTGTCCGTCTCCCTTCGCCTCGGCCTGAAGGTTTTGAACTGGGCCAGGTGGCATAACTGGGGGGAAAATGGCAAAATGATGAGAGGTGTGACATATGGTAACATATCAGTTGGATAAGTGTTTTAATTCTACCAGAACAGAAACATTGTTTAAATGTTATCTGTTCTAGCACAACATGCACAAAAATCAGAATAAACATCAAGAAACAAATGAATGCCTACATAGGTACATTTCTGCACAGCGATGCGTGCGCTGTTTGTGTACACACCTGGTTTGGGCGGAGGCGGCGGTGTTTTCTCTCCGATCTTGAGGATCTCCGGGTCCATGAGGGGAGCCGGCTCGCTCTCCCCGCCGGCGTTGACAGCGCGGATGCGGATCCAGTACTCGAAGCCCTCTGAGAAGCCCGTCGCAAGAAACTCCTCCTTCTTGCAGTCCTTCGCCTCAGCTAACCTCATCCAGTCACTGGAGCCTTCCTTCTTCCTCTCCACCACGTAACCCTTGATGCGGCTGCCGTGGTCGCTGATGGGCTTGTCCCACACGAGCTGGGCCTGGGTGATGGGCTTCTTGGCCGTCTTGGTGACGCGGACGTTCTGTGGTGGATCTGGGGGATCCTTCTTCACCTTCTTCAGCTGCACATCCCAAGCCGCCTCCGCTGTGGAAAGATACAGATGACACTTGTGATGATGGACCATGCAAGCACGATGGACTAACAGACTAGATTACGAATTACTCCGTATGGATTACTACATATTGTGTATGCAGGCATTGGTTTCATACATATTATCCTAAACCAGTTCCTTACCTTCTGGGTGCTTAGTCATGACCTTGCCCGACTTGAGCACCGTGCTCTTGCCATGCTCGTTGATGGCGGTGACACGGTACTGATACCTGGTGTCCGGCTTCAAACCAGTCACCTTGTGCCTGGGAAAAGTGAAAAGATTAGAATATTGTAAACGTAGGCTTACTAACAGAATAAGCGTTTATAACGTCTTTTGCCGTACGAACTTTCCAACGGATCACGATATTTCAGCAAACGATTCGACCGTCTTCATCGTTGATGAGCAAACATTACTCACTTGCGGTCCTTGATGTTTGCGATCTTTTTCCAGTCCTTCTTGCCGGATTCGCAGATCTCCAGTTCGAAGCCCTGGAGAGGAGCCCCGCCGTCATCATCAGGCAGCTGCCATGACACCTCCATGTTGTCGGACATCACAGACTTGAAGATGACGGGTCCTTTGGGCTGCGAGGGTGTATCTAGTTTCAACAACATAAAGGCGACATGTAAATCTTGTGCTCTACAAGATGATGACAAAAACTGGTTTAAGTTTCTGTGATAATTTCGTGGTGGTATGAATATGATGTTTATCACGTGACGCACCCGCCATGTTGCTCAACCAATATGGCGGCTGAAGCTGTTTATGGCGGCACAACACAGTATTAGCCCTATGGGGATTTCTATAGTTAAAGACCCCAAAGTGACTCACTTCGACTCTCTGAAAATCATAGTAGGGTGCACAAGCAAGGTTCAGATTTTTGATATGTTTAATTTCAGGGTATAGCGTACAAAATATGTGAAAATGAGCTTAGATTTGCCGGCTAGTTCTTTTCTCATGCCCTCTTTTATTAGCGCCACTGCGGAGGTCATGGAACTGCAGCCGAGGCACAGTACTAGGCGGGACAAGTATCCAAGCGCAAATCTACGCCGACTGAACACGCACCATAATTCAACTTTTACAGTCTCAAAACTGACGTATTCCTCTAACATTTACCACAGGTTCTATCTCGATGCCATGCACAAAACAATCTCTGCACCCTTCTCTAGTATTGTGCAGCACTACTTTGTGCCCGGACTACTTTTGACTACGGGGTTCGCCCATAAATACTGTGTTGTGCGGCCTTATGTTCATGCCTTGTGACGTCACGAACACCCCATGGTCTTACCTTTGACATTGACGGTGAAGTTGGTGGTGTCTGTTCCCTTTGGTGTCTTCACGTCGATCTTGTACTTCCCCCTGTCTAACCTCTCGGCGCCTGCGATCTTGACTTTGCACAGGTTTCCGACTGTGTAGATTTTCACCCGCTCGTCCAGTTCAATGGGCTTGTTGTCTTTCATGATTGTTATCTGAAGCATTCAACACAAGCACTTTTATCAGTACGTCCTGGTAGCGAAAAGCTTTCTTAGTACAAGGAACACTTTACATCATAAAAAAATGTTTCTTAGGACATTTTTTTCTGAACTGAAACGCACATCCTTCGAATGAAAAGTGATAGGAACAGTAAGATTTAAAAAAAAAGTTTTCATAGTAACAAGAAAGTGTATCTAACCTCTGGTTTGAAGGTTCCGTCGATAGGAATAGTAAAGTTGCAAGGTTGGCCTCCCAGCAGCTCGATAGTCTCCTTCATGTTGTCCGGTAGCTGGAACTTGGGCGCGCCTGAGGAGGGGGAGGGGGCAGTACGTTATATATCTTAGGTACTCGTATAATGTTTGTTAGCTTTACATTTATGTACTCCGTTTATACGTGATTTCGTGATCATATTTCAAAGTTGAATATCTTTTAACGAATCATGCTGCGTTTCACCTTTCCATCTTATTGCGAATTATCGGGTATTTGGGGATAGAAAAGCAGGCGGAACTTCTGGTTTGGAATAATCGAAACGTTTTTCTTACCCTCCTTGAAGCCGGGTGGGGGCTCCGGTACCACATCAGGCTCATCCGGGACTGGAAAGGAAACAAAGAAGTCTAGCTTAGGACCAGCGTTCGCAGAAATTAATCAGGACAAGGCACAAAATGTCGCCAGGAGGGGATGGAGTGAAACACATGAAATACAATTTCTTCACTGCTGACAAAAAAGGTATAGTTTAGGCATACATGTAAGTTATATCTAGACATGGTAAATCTAAACCATATTATATTTTACAGTTGCTATCCCCCCATCTTTGATGCTATTTTATGGTACCATACAAACTTAAGATAAAGGGTGATATTCAATGAAAAAAAAACGCTCACTGTAGGTGTACATGTATAGGGTATACTGTTCATGACTGGCACTTACCAAGCTGCTGTCATCCGGTAATATGATTTTAATACAAGAAGAAATGATAATGTTTACTGCGTTATATATCAAAGCTTAATCCTCAAATATAACTGGTGATCACGCTAAAATGATTTCAAACGACCCATTACTTCACAGGGCAAGGTTGTTTGGCTTCTTACCCTCTTTGAACTTGTTATTACGAGATGGTCCTTTTGAACTTCCGTCATCGTCTGTCGTAAGGGGTGGAGCAAGCAAGAGCATGGGATAAGCGTTAGTGATTTGCATAATATTGCAGCCAGGAAATTAAGCTGCGCAATGGAATGTGTTTAAATGCTTAGACAAGTAGCATCGTTATCATCGTCATCAATACAGTTGGTTTGTCAGCTTGGGGTTGGCAGGGTGTAGGAACAGCTAGTACAACGGGAGGAGGGTCTGAAACGTAACGTCATGGTGTTAGGGTAGTAGTAAGTGGCATAGGAACACACACATTAGCAGCTTCTGTAAATATGGTGCAAGGAATATTATCAGGAAGGGAATGCTAGACCATTAGAGATATAATATAAAAATATATAAAATAAGATAAAATCGTTGAAATTAGATCATAAAAGCTTGCAGTGCATTCCAACCACTGAAGCATTTATTGGATGGATACCAGCAATGTCATCGATAGGGATTGCATTATGTGTTAGGGGGCAAGGGAGTTGCAGGGTGTTATTGTAGGACTTTGGCACGTCTTGTATGTCTGTATATCTATATCTGTATATATCTGTATGATACGCAAAGGCTTCAAAGCAGCACGGCTGGGGTGCGCATAGATGAGCCAGTCACAGTCAAGTCAATGTCAAGTCAACGTCAAGTCAAATCACAGCCAAGTCAATGTCATGTCGTCAGCTTTTGGTATAATCTACACATAGGTCAGAGTTGCCTTCCGATCCTACCGAATGAAATGATGGATAGATACATATATGGGGACAATCATTAAAACGTATATATTAAGCTTCCATATGAGAACTAGGGTGAGATTTACCAACAGGACAGCTTATTTAGTTTGAATAAAGTGCTATTGGACAACATGGAAGATGGGGCGCAGAGACACGTATGTCATTGTGGTTAGTGGCGATTATGAACGCACATATAATTAGATGAAATGATTAACTGTAATCGAATTGAGAACAACACTTATAAAGGAATACGACATTGCTTAAACAGCGTTACCACTACAATAGACGTTAACATATGTAGACAAAACATAACGTACAATAATGAACATGATGGGAAGGTGGGCAGTCAGAGAGGGGAGCTGTGACATTTATGAGGAGTAGCAAATGTGATCAGGTTAAGGCACATGTAACGGGTATATCAGCAATTTGGTCAGCATATGGAGATTGGACTACAGCATGGGAAATGACGGTTCATCCGAGGACACAGGTCCCTGTCTCCGTCGATGAAAAAACGGCCGGAAAATGAGTGAAGGGGTTTCAAGACAGTCATGTCCAGATTTCGTAGTCATGTCCAGATATCGTAGGGAGCAGGAGGGGGTGCTCACTAATGTTGGGACGGGGGATCAGGGTATGGATCATTTCTGAATCGAAAATGAAAGGCCCGCTGAGAGATGCTAACCTTCTGCTGCAGGTGCTGGTTTAGGTGGTTCAGCTGGTTTAGCTGGGGCAGGTGCTTCAGCTGGTTTAGCTGGAGCAGGTGCCTCGGCTGGTTTGGCAGCTTTTGGTGGGTCAGCTGGTTTAGGTGCTTCAGCTGGTTTACCCGGAGCAGGTGCTTCAGCTGGTTTAGCCGGAGCAGATGCTTCAGCTGGTTTAGCCGGAGCAGGTGCTTCAGCTGGTTTGGGTGCTTCAGCTGGTTTAGCTGGAGCAGGTGCTTTAGCTGGTTTGGGTGCTTCAGCTGGTTTAGCTGGAGCAGGTGCTTTAGCTGGTTTGGGTGCTTCAGCTTGTTTAGCTGGAGCAGGTGCTTCAGCTGGTTTGGGTGCTTTAGCTGGTTTAGGTGCTTCAGCTGGTTTAGGTGCTTCAGCTGGTTTAGCTGGAGCAGGTGCCTCATCTGGTTTGGGAGGCTCAGCTGGAGCAGGTGCTTCAGCAGGCTTAGGAGGCTCAGCTGGAGCCTCGGCAGGTGCCTCTGTTGGTGCAGGTGCTGGTGCAGCGGGTTTTTCACCCGCAGCTGCTTCTGGTGGAGCCGCGACTCCATTCTCAGCGACAAGCCCGTTTGCAGCCCCGTTCAACTCAACTCCGTTCTCTGCTAGGTGTGCAAATGGCGTATATCATAAGCGGCATATATATGCGGCATTGGAAGCGAAAACCAGACGTGTTAAATACTACAGGACAAGCTGTAAAGCAAAAATGAACAAGGACAGGCTGAAAAGCAAGAATAAACAAGGACAAGCTGGAAAGCAAGACTGAAGCAGATGTTGTTAAATGCGTACAAGCAAGCTTACCAGCAGCCGGCTCTACTGCTCCATTTAACGCTGCATCTGCTGGAGGCTCTGCTGAATTGTCGACAAGGCAAAAGCAGAGCGTGAGAAGCTGCAAGGACGTAGTATAGCAATTCTATAGCGCATAGGTAACAGTAACAAACGTTGCGGCCTTGGGACGTGGGAGACTATTGGTCGACCTCAATCTCCTATCGTTTCGCCCTTGACTGACCCTAGGACTACGTGTGTATATTGTATATCTATATGTATATATGCTGTATACCGGTAAGATGTACATGTACCAATGAACTCCCAGTAACAACTTTCTGTCACCCTGTAGAGAAAACAAGACGTTAGCGGTACTTACGTGGGTCGAACTTAACATGCCTGAGACGCACGCCCTCCACTGGGAAGAAAAGTGGTGTTAAGACAGTTATAAACGTAGAACTAAATGGAAACATTGCGCGAGTGGCGTGCATTACGTATATTGCAGGAAACTATGGGCATGGATGGGTACTGGAAGCGGCAACATAGCAACGCCTGTTTTTCACACTTAAGATTTTTACAGACTCAATGTCTATGTCCATTACAAATACTTTGGAGGCACAAAGCAACAAGACACAAGCAAGACGACTAGACCAGGAATCAACGGAAAATTTCATTCCATCATTTGAACTACCATTGTTTACGGCATTCCTATGGGGTCTAAGCAAAGCTACTTAGAGATGACTACATTTGCAGACATTGCTGACTCAAGGCAGTAGCAGTCAATGGGTGGGAATCTTGCTTTCTTAAACTCTTGAACAGTAGGGTTCTATAAAGCTGGGTCAAAGCCTTGGACTGATATCACGCAAGCATAAAAGCAAGGTACGAGTGTTGGGCAGGGCTTACTGCTATAAGGAATTGCTAACTTCTAGTAACTCTAGATAGTTTTGCCATCAAAGCCACACAACACTACCGTCGTTAAGGGAGGGTCAGACAGAATTTAAGGAGTTGAGTTATGTTTATGAAAGGCACAAAATATGTGAGAGTGATGCATTTAAATGCGTATCAAGAGAAGCTAATAAGGGAAAGTGGAAAAAAGCCTACGCAGCAGTACGTACTGACTTGATTAATTACAGAAAAGACGCAAAACTAGAGCTAACCGCAGTCATTCGCTATTGTCTTTATCACTACTTGACAAGCATTACCAAAGAAAGCGCTTTATGTGTCACGGGAGCTTATAGCAAGGCCTGGAAGATAAGCAGGAGGTAAGATGTGAGACGCTACAGAAACAGATGTGAGACGCTACAGAAATAGGCGTGAGACGCTACAGAGATAGGTGTGAGACGCTACAGAGATAGGCGTGAGACGCTACAGAGATAAGTATGAGATGCTACGAAAGGTCTGAGTCTGTAAGGAGAATATAACAGCGACGTTAGTATCGCAAAGCATAGACTCTCGCAGCCATCGGCAGGAGACGTACGTTTGAACTCGTCTGTCCCTCTGTCGACCTTCTTCGCCTTCTTTAGCGACACGCCCCAGGCATCAGCTGTGAACGAAAATTAGGGTCATCTCAAACACAAATTTCAAATCTTAAAGGTCAGAATTCTGTAGGCAGAAAACAACATCAGTGATCACGAACGCAAGCTGCAACATATACATTGGCTCAACGAAGCATGATAACCGCATATCACAAAGCTATCCAAAGCGTTGGATAGTGGATGGTAAGACGTTTATAAGAATCAAGAGACCGGTTTGTTGCCTATGTAGAGAAGATGGTAAGCCTACGTCTCGCTGCATACGCCAATTGCTATAACGACTTTTTCGGCAGCAGATGACTAAATTGTTTGGATACCTCCGTCGATTTCCTCCTCCTCCTTCGGCTTCTTCTTCTTCTTGAAGGTCAGCTTCTTAGGCTCTTCAGGAGGAGCGGCGGCTGAAGAGAGTGGGGAAAGGGGAGTTTGTTGAGGAAACGATCGTAAAGTTTTGTTTTTCGTATGTCCTTTGGCTTTGCACCTTCTGAAATGAAATTACGTGGATGAAAGCTTAGCCTTTTGTCGAGGCCGTTTTCATCGTATCTTTGGAAGCACTATTTGGAGAGAGCATTGGACATAAAGCAGTTGAAGCTTGACTTACAGGGACAAGACACAAGACATTTAAGAAGCAAATGATCCTTTATGCAAAGGGGAGCTCTTTCATTGTTTGAAAAGGATCGGATGATCCTGCGCTCGCTTTGGACTAAGGGTCTTCTTTAGCGGCCTACGCAGGGGATTTGGACTTTTTGCAGAAGGTCGCTCCTCGTACAATACCTGGTTTAGGTCCAGTGGCTTTTTTCTTCTTGAATCCCAGGGCTGGCGGCGCACCTGCTCCTTTGGCTGTGACAAGTGGAACATCCTCATTACACTGCTTGGTGTATTAGTCACAGTGGGAGGGGGGCATGGGAGAAGAGGGAGGGGGGGGTGCTTTCCTATAGGTTTTATTAAAGGCCTCGAGACTCGTCATTACACTGATATGTCAAGAATTTCGCAAAGCAGCAGCATTTGCCAACAGTATGACTTGAGGAAAACGCCGCTATATTGTGACCATTACATAGCCAATATGGGGGATTTTATAAAGGGCTCAAATGGGTCAACGGCCAGAAAACTGGGAGGCACTTGTTGTTCAACCAAATGGCATCGTTGGTTGAGTAGTCAACCACATGATGCCGTTGGTTGAACATAAACCCATACAGGTGGGGTGACGTAGCATAGGGATTTATCCAACCGGGCACCTATGTGCATCGCGGGCAGGGGAGGGGTGCGGGTTTGGCGGGCCGGTGATGAGGGTTATACCTGCTGGGCCTTTGCCCTGGGCTGCTCCGCGCTGCTGGTCGGGCACAGGTGACATGCCTCTCCGGGGGGAACCTCTGGGACTCGGCTCATGCTCGCTTCCACTTCCCTCGGGCACATCTAACTTCTTCAGTTTTACACCTTAACGTAAACGGGCATTGCAGGAAGCTGTTGGTCTTGGTCATCATCGTTTATGTATTGGCTGACAAAATTTGCGTATCATGATAAAAGGAATACAATTCAAAGAAAGCATTGTTTCGGGATGTCTTCTTCTATTCCGTAAGCTGTTGTACCTTCAAGTCCCCCTTCCTTCACTTCCCTTTGCTGTTTCGTGGTTTTCTTCAGTTGGAAGCCGAAGGGTGCTAGACAAGTCGAAAGACATCATGGGGTGTCAAACCTTGTTGTTTATACATGCTGCCCCGAGCAACAATATTTTGCTGATAGAATGTTGTGAAAAAGCCAGAAATATGTGAAAATACGATTGAGTGAAATCTGCAGAAATACCGGCTTCCTCCTTTGGAGGTGGTGCCGCTTTCTTCTTTTTCAATGTGAATTTCTTTGGGCCTGCAGCTGGACGTTAGAAAAAAATAGACGTGGACGGGGTATTAAAGGCACGAAGAAGCATATCGGTACCTTATTCTGGTCTTCAGCAGCTGCAACATCGGTAACAGATATATAAGCTCTTATGAAAAAAGCAAGATATACGGCAAGGGAATAATGGGGGTTAGCATTGATTTTGATAATTATATCACATTGAAACAATAGGGTAGTTCACTTATGTTCGTGATAGGCCCAACAGAGCTTGGAGGGTTATTTAATACTTTGTCATTGTCCTGACAAAGTTTACGCATTGCAGGGCGAGGGGGGGGGGGCGAGGAGGGTCACTACCTGCGGCGGCCTCTTCTTGAGAAGGTTCTGGCGTTGGCTTTTTCTTCTTTTTTATTAGAAACTTCGGTGGTGCTGCTCCCGCTTCGGTAATCGTCAACAAAAATGACAGTGACGAAACGTGAAAGAACGACTCAGACCAACAGCGACCAAAAGCCCGCGGGGTGCTTTCAGATTATGTCGCTACATCGACGGACAAACACGGGACCAACATAGACGGTTTCTGAGACGGAGGACAGACACGGAAGGCGGCACGCAGTTAAAAAGGCCTTTGTCTTACCGCAGGCTCAAACACAATTAGACATTGATACAACATGTGATCTTAATGCACGAATTCGTGACCGAAACTCGCCTCTTCTCCAAGTTACGATGTTAATACACAAGACATTTTCTACCTTTGGTTTCAGTGAAGGGTAGTAGGTTTGGAACACAGATTGGTCCAATGTTGATTATCAAGAAATTACATCTAACAATCTAGTAATCTTGTTGTTATATCAATGTGTCTATGTGAGCCCTAGAAAGCAATCGGTCAGGCGGTCAGGGGGTTGTGGTGAACCAGATATACGTGTTGGAGAGAGGGGGCCTAGAGTGGGAAGGACGGGAGTGTCAAGCATTGACCAGTAGAAACGATGTCTGCCGTAGCCTGGTTAAACTTAAGACAATATAAAAAGCAAGCAAGTACGTCGCTTCTTGGTTATCTTAGATGTCATATATCATTAGGATAGTACGCGCAGGGTGAAGATACATTGTTAAATAAACAGTACAGGACAAATGTGAATAAAAGAGAGGTATAAGATTGTGACAAGGATGATACCCCAAGTGATACAAATGACAATACATACATTATTTACATAAACAGCATGTAAATTAGAAGCATTTAAGTTGCCTAACGCGACGTGTACGTAATCAGACTAAACATTCTAAAACTTAACGACATACCGGCAGTTCATTAGGGAAGCAGATAGAACAAATAAGCCATAGAAGCATTGAACATATGATTAAGTTATATAATGTACTATAACGCAGACTACATAACCCACATACAGAATTACAACAAAAGCAGTAAATGAATGAGGTAAATAGAGCTTACCTTCAAGCAATATACTATAAGCTATCACGGAAATACAAGCAACCATTCCATGGTGACAACCCAGCAGTAAAATACACTACGGAAATTATGAACACTTAAAGACCATATGGCACCAAAAATACGATCATTGTTGGTGATCAGAAAATGCTGTCCTTTGATGTTATATGGCCGTTAATGTTGCTAATTTGATTAAGGTTCGGGATGTAATAACGCTGGTCTTACCTGCTTCTTCGGCGGGTTTGGCTGGACCTGCCGGCTTCTTGGGCGCCGCTGTGCGAATCGTACATAGCAGTGTGACGTGAGCAACGGTTTTTAAACATCATACTGACACATGTTAAGCACAAGACATTCATGTACATGTCAGTAAGGAAAGATTAATATGGTTAGAGATATCTAGATATGTTCGTGAGTGTATTAGAGATAGATGCACTGTCTAATTGTTAAATTTCTGTGTAACAACACCATAGGAACAAATTAAAACTTGGTTGGATGTGTCATGCCAAATTTAACTAAAGCTGTGGGCAAATAATTTTACTTTAAAAGTCATGTAGCTAAGGTGAGTTTTGTCATCAGCGTACTAACATCTTGATACAATTTAAACGATTGGTGACTTATATAGTGCTCTAGCATATACGTTCGTTCCTGGCGTTAGTTGAATAGCAAAATATGGGCATCTACAAATTTCAGAAAGGCAAACTTACCGGCTGGCTTGCCCTCAGCCTTGGCTTGCGCAGTTTCAGTCACCATGGTTTCCTCCTTCTTTTCTTCGACTTTCTTGACTTCGGGCTTCTTTGGTGCTACGGGTTTCTTCTGAGGAGGTTCTGCCTTAGGCTCGGGCTTCTTGGGCTCGACCTTTTTGGCTTCAACCTTCTTCTGAGGCTCGGGTTTCTTAGGCTCGGGCTTCTTGAGCTCGACTTTCTTGACAACTTTTTTCTCGACTTTCTTTTCTTCAACCTTTTCCTCAGTCTTTACCACCTTCTTTTGGACCACTTTTTTAATCCCCTTCTTCTCTACGACTTCTTCCTTCTTTTCGACCTTCTTCACAACCTTCTTCTGGACTACCTGTGGCTTCTTTTCTTCGGCTAGTAAAAGGAAGACATGGAACAATGTAAGTATCAAGACGAAAGAAGGTTCATGGAAGATCGAACGTTACTACTGTGTCGCGGTCTATGTCGCAGCAGTGTTGTCCTTGCGTATAGAGACAGACGTCGTCATATGTGCGACTGTCGTTAGTATTAACAGGTACTTGCAATTCCCAAGTCCTTCGCAAGGCAGAAAGCAATTAGAAAAGTCCCAGAACAGACAGACAATTTGTAGGCGAATTTGCACAGATTACGTTTGGCTTTAAGATATTCTTTATGCCATTGAGTAGATCCTTTACTAATAGTGAGAAATCGCCATAGCTTCGAAAACCAATTAAGATTGAGGAAAGTTGGGGATGGCCTCAATTCGGGACCACATTTTGTCCGGTATTCGACGCACCAAAAATACGCTCCGCACTGCCCCGGCTATTCCTGATGACACCATTGTTTATACAGCTGCTAACGGGACAAATCACAAGGTTGCACAAACTGTTTTCCACAAAATCGTCGCGCAATAAACGACTACCGTGAAATCGGTCTTGCCTATTCACCAAGACGTTGTTTAAAAATATTTATTTCTTGACGTGTTGTTCGATTTCTGTTGACTGTTTGTAAGACTTTGATTTGACATTCCACATTTACAAAATTTCCTTCCGAGTGTTTATTTGATTTCTGTTGAATGTTTGTAAAACTTCGATTTGGACTTTTTTTAAAATTTCTTTTCATAGGTATTGTCTTGTGTTTCATGAGCCAATGTCGTCAAAAAACCCAAACTCGTCATCTTAGGTTTAGATCTTAGCAGTGATACTCTTAATAGTTGGAATTTCATAAAAAAGCCGATAATATTAACTAATCTGCCTTGATGAAAAATGATGTCTAGCTTAGTGGCAATTAGAAGATTCCAAAGCGTAATCACCTTATGTATGAGTAGCCTATAAGTTATATATGACTTCTGCGTTGTTGCCATTCCATAGCAACGAGTTACCCAACTAAATATTATAATCTAATGCACCATACTAAATGTCCCCTTAAAGGTCCATTATGTAACATCAGGCTAGGAGAGTATGTTGTAGTCTACGGGGGGGGGGGCTATTTGATTAAATTTTGATTTAGGTATTTGGTGGACCTTGCGCAGCTTGTTTCTGCACAGCTCATGGATACGCGAAATAATTATGCAAATGTGATTAAAAGAGGTTGTCCATGTCATTCACATGAAGGTTTTGCTCTCAAAATATTTTCAAATTTAAGGGCAAATGTTACATAATGGGCCTTTAAGTGCATTAGCAGCTCATCACAGTGCAGGCCGTACGACAAGCCGTGCGCAGCATATGCCCGTACGACACTCTTCTGTTACTATAGCACGCAGCCGAAGCTCCAGCTCGTTTACGTGTATAAATGAGAATAAAGCAACGTAATAAAACTGAATTTCCGATCCCATACAAGAAAAGGAATTATACGGGTCAGGTGAATCTGTTTGTATGTTGGAAAGTGGCAAACGTTTATAGGCCTTTTTGTACCGAGTGTTCGTTCTTTATTTTAGAAAAAGATGTTTTGTAGCGTGATCAAATGAATAATAAGAATTTTCGAGTAAATATGAAATCATCGATAGTCATACTGAGGACTGACGACTCTCGACTTGCACCTGACAACATTATACAGGAGATGTCCATTTAAAAACTAAATAAAACTCTTTCAATAACCTCGCACTCGCGCAATGCAAGAAAAGACACGCATGTGTTGTACCCTAACTGCTTGTTAGTTTGTATGAACGCTGCTGCTGTGTATTCGGGACGTCTAGATCTAAGCCTGCCTTGACCGGACCATACAACTGACCATAAGTCTTCTTTACGAAGGTTTCTCTGCCGACTTGTTGGCCAGCTTCGTCCACGGCTGTGATCTTGACACGAAATTCTTTCTGTTTAGTGATATCCGAGGTGGCAGCGGTTGAGTCAACTCCCGTTGGCGGCTCTAACGTAATCTTATAGTTAGCAGCGCCCTCTACCGGAGTCCATTGGATCTCCATTTCGGATTGGGCAGTTGGGTCGGCTTTGACTTTTATTCGTTGCGGAACTGAAAGGACTGAAACGTAGATTAGATGGGACAGGATGTGACGTCATGTGGTGACGTAGACTGTGAGGTGGACTTGGACACAAGGTTATAGGTGGAAAGTGTGGAGGACGTCACAGAAAACGGGGACAACAGACAGTTGAAACGATGAGACTCGAGAACATTGGTTCAGGCTTTGTTTGAAAAGCCGTCAACTCAAGATATGGAATTAGTTCTTGATTAAAAAAATGATAATGTGGTGCTGTTATGGTTGAGCATGATCGCTGTAATCTGACAGCAGCAAATGATATTACTCTAGAAAAGCGGGAGCACTTTTTTTCTTCAAACCCTACAAAGGAAAATACACAGTGGTGTCGTACTCAAGCGATACGCTTATATCAGCGGCGCCACTGGGTACAATACACAACATAAGACATCTCTCGTCTGACAAAATACGCACAAAACACAGACAACAACGTAAAAAAAGACTCAGCAAGGATTCGCGATAGCAAGTGCATCAGAATGGATTGGATACTCAAGGAGAACAACAAAGAAAACAGTGTATTCAATCGCAGAAGAAAGTTGATGTCTGGTTGATTTTGGGCGCCAATGTTCTCTTTCTTGGGATGAGGAAATGACAGACAGACAGACAGAACATTACGGCTGACGTGATGGAATGGACAGTCATGGGCGGTGGGAGGCAGATGGGATGGATTGATGTCATGAAAAGGACAGTGAGAGTAAATAACACTGATACATACACGCAGTCTAAAGTTCAGCCGGTCTATTTTGGTAACATCGTTACAGCGCCCGGCATAACGCTAAGCGCATTTCGCCATGTGTCGCGTCGGTAGCTATGGTAAGACGTTGTCATTGTAGTAGATATGTCCATAAAAGTTTGTACGTACGCAGTACTGCAACACGACAGACCATGCACAACGCTATAAGAGTTTCACAAAGAACAGCTGACGATGGAAGATGAGTTCAGATATGAAATCCAGAACACTATTTTTAGTGGTAATACCGATCGGTAGACTCCATCATGCCAAACTAAACGCTAACGACGTGCCAGCTTTCACGTAGGTACACGAGCGTACCATACCGCGCTAAGAGTTTGTCAGAATACTTTTATCAATGGAATATTACATGAAATCATATTGAGAACGGTGTGCTAGTCTATTTTTGTACACTGTAGGGTAGTTGGTAGCGCACATACCTTTGGTTTTCTGAGTGATGGGCGCGCTATCTGCACTCTTCTGTCCGCGCAGTCCCTTGGATACGACTCTGATGGTGTAGTCAGTCCCCGGGTTTAGTCCCTGTAGCTCCCGCTCAGGCTGGGTCAGTCCCCTGGGTCCTGCAACAACCTTCCCGTGGGCTGGGTCGACAGAGACGTCGTAGCTGGTCGCTCCTTTGACTGAGCCCCAGACAACGGTCAATGAAGTTTCCTTGACGGAGGTAACCCGTAATCCAGTGGGCGCGGAAAGCGCTGTGGACAAAAAAATAAAGTGTTACCTTTGCAGAAGACCCAGAAACATGGCTAACACACTCGAATTTCAAACAACAAAGCAAAAGAATGACTTTTCCAACTGGGCTTCCCCGATACCCGTTGCTATTTTGGTTTGAAGTATTCCCCAGGGAAGAGAGATTCCGTTCCTAGAAAAATAACATTAAATATCTCGCCTTTGGATCAAACCCCTTATGAACTGTAAAGTTCCACCGGGGTTTATACTCCAGTCGTAAATATAAGCTGCTTTCCCGAAAAATCCCAGAGAAATTGGGTGCAGACTCTCCCACAAAACCAAAGCCGGCTGCCCGAGACTACGGGACCGACAGGCTAGAAGCTGCAGGCTGGCAGCGTCAGAAAATAGATTCTGCGGTGTCTGGTGTCATCAACTGTCGTAAGCAATATGCGACGCCCCGGCTTGAATGTCACTCTCTCTCAGCATACTCGTCATTCCGTTTTTATCGACGATACGCTTGCCAAGTTTCATGGCTAATTATACTACATATAGGCACTGAAAATAATACACACATGCATAGGAGCTGATGCTGCACTTTCGGGAAATGTAATTGAGTTTTTATCTGTAGTAAATACCAAATTAACTACAGGAAAAATACTAGATTCTTCGTCACGAACTGCTGCCAAAATGGTCGCTATAGTAGGTATTTCTGTCCTCCGTGTTTCTTCTCGGATCGAATGCCCTGAACAGCATATTCCACATGCCGAACCACCCTGCGTTTTATTTCGGATTGGTCATGTGATCTAGCCAGAAGAACCTACCAAGGGATGTCTGCTGTATCAGAGGTTCACTGGCCGCGCTCATGCCATGGCTGCTAACGGCCAGAACAACCACTCTGTACTCTGTGCCTTCCTTTAGGTTTGTTAGTTGTCTCTCTGGAGCTTGTTTTCCCTTGGTTGTAACGGCGACGTTGGCGCCCTCCGGTTTGACTTCGAAGGCGTAGTCGGTAGCACCGGCGATAGGCGCCCATGTGATGGTCATAGAACTGTGGGTCACCGACGAAGCCTTCAGACCTACTGGTGTTTTCAGAGCTGAGAAAAAGAAACTTTTTGTTTAGTTGTTTATTAAAACTTATCCGTGATACAGTGACATATAACGCATATTACACCACAAGGGCAGGACCTGAGCGCAAATATGTGGGCGTGACAACGGAAAGGTCCATAGAAATATGTTAAGGACACCAACTGACGTACACGAATAGGCTACACTTGAACTTTAGCAGAAGCGACATCAAATATCAATAAATAAACAAGATGCAGAGGATATATGTGGTGTTTTTGTTTTGTACATAGTTCGGCCCTATTCATAGCAACTATAGTCCCTTTAACAAGTTCAGCCGCACCTAAGTGCCCACACCGCACGTCAAAAAGTATGCCTCCATCCGTATCGTATTGCAAAGAATCAGCTAGAATATGTTAGTAAATAGGGGTAACAGATATTTGTGATAACATTGACACGGAGACAGGGACGGTCAGTCTTATCATTATGACCGCATCGCCACTGAGGACATCTTAAAATTTTGCTAACTAGCCATGACCTCATAAGTACCGAGACTTTTAGCTACAACAACCTCTCCCATGCGGCCATGCTAAATATGGAGTGGTGGCATCCGCTATGCAAACTAAAGATGACCGAGGGTAAACAGTACAAGAATATGAAACAAAATACGTACCAGGTTTGGCTACGGATGTAACGGAGAGGGAGGGGGTAGACAAAAAGGACTAGGTTAGATGTAAGGAAATACAACACAAGCGTAGAGACATGTATAGGCTTTCAAGGTCGCGCGTAACATACACAAATACCAATATTGGAGAAAGAAGAACGGCTTAGTAGGATTAATTTACATAAGAAGATGCTTTAGATGCTAACACGAAATCGAGTAGAATCAGTTCTACATCGTTAGAACATTCAAAGTCAAAATATCTTGTACAACTCATGAAGTGTCTATATGCTTGGCATCAGCTTTCTTTGCTCCGGTATTTTGCATTGTTGGGAGCTACCGACTTCAAATGAAATCCACTCTATCCTATCGCCGACTCGTTTCTTTTATTGCTTCCCTGAGCAATCATGTGGACAATCAAATTACAGCCCTTGACCACAACCAAGTAAGGCCTTGGATTGCAAATAATAGAAAACACAATAAGGAGGAAGATACACCGGACAAGCACGAACTCAGTACACACATGAGTGTGAGCCAATAAAAATCATGATCACCTCTGGTGGTGTGCGCAAACGGAGCGCTAGGGGCGCTTTTACCGAGATGTCCCTCCGCCGTGACGACGAAGGTGTACTCTGTGCTCTCCTTCAGGCCCTTGATCTCAGTAGTTGCCTCTCCAGCGCTGCAAAGGAGCATAAGACAACCGTAAGTACATACGTGAACGTGTTCTCTTTCATACACTTGTGTAGAGTTCTAGCTATCTATTGCTATGCATTGTGATAGTCATTGTAGCGTTAGCCCATCAAAGAATCTTCGAAAGTCTTCGAACAATACTGACAAGAAGTCCATATCTTGTAGGGAATGAGCTCCACAATACCTAGACTCTGTTGTCTTCTCGAAGGAGGTAGTAGTGACGTTGTACTTGTTGGCGCCCTTCACGGGTGTCCAGGACAGAACCATGCTGCTGTCTGTCACACTGGACGCCTCGAAACCTTTCGGTGAGACCAGATCTGAAACAAAATGGCCGACAGTTTATACCTTGGGTTAGTTTATCGATCAGGAACCGTGCAGGGTATACAGATGCACGACAGGAATTGAAGGTAAGGCTTTTCTGAATGAGGAGCCATCTCTCCCGACTTGAAGATCAGGACATATACTATAATTTCGTAGTAGTGTAGAAAGATTTGTTTCTGTATGACGTCATTTCTTTCATCTTGTTCAGAGAGAAACAAAGATGGCGGATGGAACTAGAACCAAGATGACGTCATGAAAACCTATGAAATGTCTATGTTACTGGGGTACTTGCCTTTCGTCCTATGTTTGAATGTCTCCCCAGGCGGACTCTGTCCTCCCTTGCCCTTTGCGGTCACCGAGAATTCGTAAACTGTTCCCGGCTGCAGTCCCTTGACCAGACGCTCGGGAGCGCTGGCACCTTTGTCCGTCCGGTGTGCCTCGCCGCCCCGGGGCGTCATGTCTACCGTGTAGTTGTCCGCCCCGGTCACGGCGGGCCACTGAAGGGCCACGGTCGTCCCCGTGGTGGAGGTAGCTGTGACTCCCGAGGGGGGAGGAAACGCTAAAGGAGTTGAGGTGGAGTTAGAGGCAGATGCGAGAGAGAGAGCATGAAGAACAGACACGGTGACAACAGTAAAGAAAAGTGAAGCGAAAGGTTGGAAGAGAAATCATAGAGTTGGCAGCGTTCATGATGCGACAGGTTCAGAGTGAGACACACACACGTACACAATAGTGGGAGAGTTGGATGTGTAATGACTGTTGCAGACACAAAACTTAACAGTGCCAAATCATAAGGCAAAAGATGGAGGAAGAGCACAGTTGAACAGAAGTTGTGTAGGCGGTGAACAGCAGGAATAATAGATAGTGAACATATGAGATAGTTTACCCACCTTACATGGCTACATGGCTTGCGTGTCAATCGTAGATATTGGATTGTTGAATAGTACTGTTATCATTTCTACAGTCACATAACTACATGAACTGACAGATATAGTACCACATTTACACTGGTCTACTCTACAGACATATTGCTGAAGATCGTCCTGTGTTTTCGTGTCTGTATAAGAAAGCATGCAATGCTGTTTGCAATGTAGCATATGTTCTACTGGTAAAGTACAATATCCATCAACATACAACAAGTGCGTTCAACCCACGGCAACTTTTATTTCTTTGGCTCATACACAACAGCAAAATGGACAGGTGGAACTCTTCATGAAGACTATCGTTTACTTCAGTAGCTGTTTGCTCGGACAATTGATTTGAGGAGGTTCAGATTCCCGGTTAATCTCTTCACCTATACCGTACAAAGCTTGGTCTGGCTGTCTCACCAAACAGTGGTCCCACTGGAAACTCCACACTGAGGTAGGAGGAACCTGCCTGCATGATTCTGAACTTTAACAATTCTTCATGATTGGAACATTATTTCGTCTAGCAGCAATAGAAAGTTGACGACCAACGACGCCCCGATTTGAAAATTTAATATCACAACCATGTTGATGATGCACCTCAACATTACATAGCATATTTCCTATGTTAAATGTGCGTATGTTATAATCGCTTTAGCGCCGTCATATTCTTTGGTCGGTCGGTCGGTTGGTTGGTTGGTTGGTTGGTTGGTTGATTGATCATATTCATAAACTGTGACGTAATGTGTAAACACACTAAATCAATGGTAGATTTGGTTGTCAACTTTCGATTTTTGGTTCTCTGCTATCTCATACCAACTGTCCTCGCAAGTCGCTGTTTTCATCATCAAACTACGGATTGCTCTATGATGGTTGAATTCTAGAGTCGTCATAAGTAAACATATGTTTTGTCTTCAACTGTTCATGGTAAAAGCAACAGAACATAATTACAAAACTCACCAATGTCCTTCAAAATAAGCAAACAGTAATGCTAACAAATTGCCTGAGGAACTAACTTAAAGATACTGACGTAAACTTAAGAACATACGTAAGAGGTTTCTAGGGGAGCAGCATGGTTCTCTAGAGCAGCTTCTAAATCGTAGAAACTTACACCACAAACCAAGAATTGTCATGCATCTAAATTCTTTCATAATAACACTAACGCTACAAATATCAAATCTAAGGTAAATTACGCAAGTAGGACTCAAATCCATAAAACAAACTAGAACACCAAACTAGCACCAAAGCTTACAGCAATCATCACGTAGACGTGATTATTATTTATCACTAAACATTGTCTGAAGTTCGGTATAAGTATATGGTAGAGAGTCTTTTATAAGTATATGGTAGAGAGTCTTTAGATTTTGCCATGAGATAAGATTGAAAGACCAAAGTTTTCCTTTACCACATGTTTCCATGGTCGTATGAAGTATATAATGAGCAACAGCACACACAGTACCAATGTTACACCTCGCCAAATCTAACACAACAGATTTTAAAAGAATTCTACGACTTCAAGGGCACTTTGCTTCACAAAGAATAGACAATACATGGTCTACACACACACCATTTGTGGTAAATGTTGAATTAGTTCAAAATGGTTGGTTTATTACATAAAACGACTGAAAACGAAACACTTTTTAGTACTTTGCTAAGATAGTTTACCGGCAATTCCTTAAGTAGTTTCTGTTAATGATTGGTTAGTTCAATGGTTAAGAAAAGATTAAGCAAAAGCAAATTCTTTGGAAGGAAAGCATGTACATTTCCTATTTGTTCCCTCAACATATACAGGAAGGCCTCCGATATCGACAACTTACGCCCTCCAATATCTTACAGCTAACACCTGATACAGTCGATTTTGGGATGTCAGAAAAGTAACTTTTGGGGCCTGGGGACCGTAACTTCCACTGATTGTCATAGTCCAAGTCTACTATACATGTTCCTGAAAAGGGCACTCGTTTGCCTAGAGCGTATAGTAATTCCATTCTAGGACAAAAACCTTTCCATATACTCTTCTGTAAAAGTACTGAATACAAAATATTCAAGAGAAAGGCTTCCTTTTAATATATGCATGCCGTTGTCACCAGAGGAAAAGTGTAGAGGTTTCTATTTGTACCAGATGTTGCGCCTAATTCACTGTGGCTAAATCCCTTCTTTTATATTTCCCCTTATCTTTGGTAAAAGAATAGGTATTTCCTTTTACTTCGGCGTATAATGCAAGCTCTTCGTCACTTTTAGTATTCACCTCTCTCTTTCAATTTTTAAGTATTTCGCAAGGCTACATGTAAACGTCTCCCAAACTCCCAACACCTGTCAGATCGTCATTGATTTCTGGTAATGCATCTCAAGTAGCTATATCTATTGCCACCCGAAGCGCCAAGGCTTCTTGTAGAAGGAGTTCTTCTTCCTCCTGCGCCACTTCTTCTTGATGGTCGCCCTCCTCCTCCGCGCCAGGCCCTTGCGTTTGCTCTCCCGGGCAGCCTTCCTCCTCTCCCGCCGGCGCTGACGGTCCTTCTCGGTGTTCCTCCTTCTCTTCCTCTTCCTCCGACCGGTTCCTAACAAAGGATTACCTACGGCTCTAACAAACCCTTTAAACTGGTTGTGACAAGTATCAAGGATGGTAGGACCCACTTCATTGAAAAACAATTCATTCAACAGCTATTTCTACCTATTAGATGTATGGTGGGTAAAATTGTCGGACATGGATTATTGTACCTTCTTCAGAACGCTTCTGAACGCTGCCAACATCGTTTAAATATATAGTTGCACTGCGCAATATGGCATAGCCACTCCTGTCTTCATTAAAAACATACATCGCGCGTTAAAGTTTTCACGAAAAAAGTACAAACAAAAGTCCATCCTCATTTTTGCAGCAAAAATGACTGACATAGAAAATCTCAAACATGTTGTTTACCGATAATGACGACGAAAAAATGACATCAATGGATCATATTCGAATTCGACGAAAGCAACAAGAAAATAACTGGGCCTACCGTAGGTCCTCCTCTTGATGCTCTTGGAGACCTCGCTCTTGACGCCCTTATTGGTGACGGCAATAACAGAGATGTCGTACTCCGTGTTGGGCTTCAGATCTTCGATGATTCTCTCCGGCTGGGAGGGGTCGTTACCCCGGCCGGGCGCGAACACGGTACCGAGCCGGGGCCTCAGGACCACCTCGTAGTCACGGGCATTAGCAACCGGGTTGAAGGACAACCTCATCCCGGTTTGGGTGATGTTGGTGGTCTTCAGTCCGGTGGGGCCATGCAAGGCTGAACACAAAATAACACTCGGGATTAAAAAGATCCGTATATTGTATGAAAGATTACAATCAATTACGGCTAAAATGTTGTTGTAGATGGTAGGTAGTCGGTGGCGGTCATGACTGTCCTTCAATCAACACTCATTTCAGTATTCTAAATTTTCAATTCATGGAAACGGGTGTAAACCCTTTTAGGGTTGTGCTCTCCGATTTCAGTTCCCAGTTTCCTGCATGTTATGTGTAACTCCTCACCATTACGCCAGTAACCGCTCACCTTCTGTAGTCACCTCCACAGGGTCGCTGCGGCAGCTGTCTCCCCGGGGACTCTCGGCCACGATGGTGATGGAGTACTCTTTGTTAGACTTCAGCCGGCTGATGTGCCTCTCGGGCGCCCTGGCACCCCCCGAGCCCGGGATGATGGTAGCTCCCGGAGGGTCCATCCACACGCTGTAGTCGTAGGCACCGGGAACCTCGTCCCAGGTCAGACTCAGGCCTTCTTCTGTGATGTCAGTCACCTTGATATTACTTGGCGTGGACAGGGCTACAGAACGGAAATATATGTATATGTTGGGTCATAGAAAAAGATCCATGACTGGAAATTTGATTATGTTTCAATGAAGTTAAAACAACTTAAACTCTGTATTAAGGCTACCCCATGATCCTTTCAAGACAATTTTAGGGATTGTGTAATACTCGAACATGGGATGTTACTGCTCATGATGATGTTATATTTTTAGCATTAATGATAGGCACAGGACTGAGTTTGTATGCATGCCATACTTGTGAAGACACAGAATTGTGAGGCTCTGTCGAAAATCCTTACCCATGGTGGTGAAGGTGAAAGGCTTGTTGACGGACCCCTCGCCGCTGGCACTCTTCGGTACGATGATGACGCTGTACTCCTTGTTGGGTACCAGCCCGGTAATCTGTCTCTCCGGGCTTTGAGAACCGTTCGTCTGACGTATTCTCCCCTCAGACGGGTCAAGTTTAACGTCGTACGACGTCGCGCCGTTGACCGGTGACCAGCGGATGGTCGCTGTTGTGTCGGTGCAATTGGTGACCCTGATGCTAGAGACAGCACCGAATGCTACGGAATTCAGAAGGTGTCACGTTAATATAAGAACATGTCGTCACAAGACAAGACATCATTTGAATATTATCCGGGACGGCCGAAAGACCTAAAGAATCTCCAATAATGATACATGTACTTGTAATTCCTTTTGCTTCATAAATATTGTATATGTACATTCCATACATACCTTTTGTTTTAACCTTGAGTGGTTGAGATGCCAGCCCGTCCCCTCTGGAGCTCCTGCCCGTGATGATGATCTGGTACTCCGTGGCGGGCCTCAGGCCGGTGATCTCCCTCTCCGGAGCGCCGGGGAGTTTAGGCGTGATGGCGGTTCCTCCGGCAGGTCTGGTCTCTACGTCATATCCGGTGGCACCCTGGACACGGTTCCAGGCCACTATCACTGACGTGTCGGAGGCGGACACGCAGCGCATACTCTCAGGTCGTGCCAAGGCTGCAAAATGATGAAAACATTCAGTCGCCAGATTCAAGTTGTATCTATAGATTGTGCAACAGTGATAGAAATCATTCAGTATACCGTCAAGAACGCACAAGTCATTAACGCGTCACTAAGTATAGGAATGTGCTGAAGTCATTGCGACCTGACAAGATGAGTCAGGAAAACGAGCAAAGCGGATGCTCCAGTAGTACCTTTGGTAAAGCTCCTGGTAACTGCTGATGAGCCGACCAGCTCGCCTTTCTTCGCGGCCACGGAGATCCTATACTCCACTCCAGGCTTCAGGCCGGAGACCTTCCGGGCAGTCGCACCGGATTCCCTCACCTTGCCTTCAGGGCTGATGAGAAACTCGTAGTCTGTTGCCCCCTTCACGTGCGACCACGTCACGGTCATGTCGTTCTCGGAGTCCGCCTTGGCGACCAGGTCCTCAGGCTCGGTTATGACTGGACAGAAGACACATAAGTCAGTCATAATTCGACGTTATTCAATTATTTGGCCATAATTCTGCACGAACATGCAATTCAAGACTACCAAGCTGACACAAAACACCGAAAGATATTACGATGATGCACCTTCATCATGATGTAGGAGATCAAGACACCAAAAAAAACGTTAACTTAGGTAAAGGAGTCGTAAATGTTAAAACCTTTCGAACATGAAGCTGATGACATACCCTTCGTTCCGATGGTGAAGTATTTAGACGGGGCGCTTACACCCTTTGGCCCCTGCGCCGTGACAGTAACCTGGTACTCTGTAGCCGGGAGGAGATCGCTGATCTCCACCTCTACCCGGTCATAGTCCATCCTGGTGACCCGTGACACGCCCTCCTTGGAGTCGGTACCCACAATGTAGCTGGTGGCTCCGTACACGGCGTCAAAGCCAAACAGTACTTTGTTGTCCAGACATCGGATGGCGCGGAATTCAGAAGGCGAAGGAAGAGCTGAAAACCAAATCAAGAAGAAGTCAGGAAAATGGTACATATTCATATTACCTGATACCTTACCCTTGCATCATCAAACGTTCTACCGAAGCCCAGGAAGGTTAACAGATACGTTAGTATTGGAGTAATATTTCGCCAAAAACCTGCGTGACATCTGTCATTGGTTCGTCCTGTAAGTGTATGAAAGGTTTTTTTTCTATTAATGTATAAGTGGAGGGGGATGCAACGTGAGCTCCATTGGTCTTAAAATGCATTGTTATGTTATGTTATGTTAGACGCCTAAATCTACTGACACTGTGTTCGTTCACCTTTAGTCGTGACCTTGATCACTTCACTTTCCTTCGTCCTCTCCTTGTTGGCTTTCTTGGCCGAGACGGTGATCTTGTATGTTTTACAGGGCTTCAGTCCCCTGATCTTCCGCATGGGGGCGACAGGACCATAGTCAGTCAGGAACACCTCGGCGTCACCACAAGGGTCGAAGCTGACGTCATAATCTTCTGCGCCCACCACCGGGTCCCAGTTCAGCATGAGGGTACGGTCCTGCACCTGGGACGTCCTCACAGAGGTAGGGTAGTGGGCAACTGATGGGGAGGCAAAAACATAGCAGTGGGTTACTTCCAATTCTAGTCGTTATTTGATTTCAGTTCTTAGAGTCCGTATCTGCGTATTGATGATTGGTTCGTATCTGCGTATTGATAATTGGCTAGTAGGATTATGTCACACAATGTACGGTTGCTAGGTTACAGGATGTGCCCTAAAACATGTTACAGTGTCTACATTTTACATCAATTAGGCATCAATTAGGCATCTCAACGACACAGAGTGTAGTTCTAATGTCAAGTACATGTCAAGTATTACCATTCTCAAATCCGTGTTCAATGACAAACAGAAAGACAAAGGGCATACCCGTGTATGAACTCTGACTTACTTGCCATGGCTGCGTATGCTGAAGCATCGATGGTGACCACGGGAGCAGCTTGTCGGACTGCGGGAAGACAGCAGCGTTAATTGAGCTCTAACGCGTTACCATAACAACTCGAATCCATGGCTTTGCTATGTTTCATGAGACACATGCATGTGATTACGGTACATGCAGTAAAACAGGTAGGTGGCGCTGCAATGTCGTCTGATCTGGTAACGTATCCAGTAAGAACTTTTTCAAAGGAACAAAATTATGACTATTCGGGATAATTATGGAACATCATGCGCAATTTTTACAACCCACCTTCGACTGACTGTTGTTCCATAGCTGCCTGTCGTGCTTCGGCAAAGGCCGAGATTCCGGTCGAAAATTCTTCTGGTTCTTCCTCCTGTTCAACCTCTTGCTCTGAAAACGACAGTAGGAATCAATTAGAATCTAACAACAGATGACAAAGTGAATGTTCGAAAGCTTCAGGTATGATTCCATGCTTCCCGTACATTCCGTGCTTCGTAAAAATCCTGTGAAGAAAATAAGATGATGAGTGATGGCACGTGACTCTGCACGAGGTGGTTAGTACGATGAGCATTAGCCTCCGGAGATCACCATATATAAGCAGCGGCCAACAGACAACACATTGAAACACATAAAAGCAGACTAGTGCTGTCCACCACCACAGTTAGTAACAAATACCTAGAGGAGGTTCGACAACTTCGGCCACCGCTTTGGGTTCTTCTTCCACCTTCTTTTCTTCCTTCTCAACTAGCAGAACCTTCTTTTCTGCGGGCGGAGCTTTCTTTTCTGTCGGAGGAGCGACCGGCTTCTTTTCTTCTGGAGGAACTTTCTTAGCTTTGTTTTAAAGACAAACAGACATTCAGTTTCAGATACATACAGGGTCAAAACAGAAACACAAATAGACAAGGGAAAAAAGCAGCAGTCAGTCATTTGAAACAAGATCAGTACCAAGAGGAACTTTGGCTTTCTCTTCAGCCTCCTTCTTTTTCTTTTCCGCCTCTTCTTGTTGTCTTTGCCGCCAGGTGGGTACCTTCTTTTCTGCTGAAGATACAATAAGGAGGCAAATTATTATCTTCACTTAATCATATCTTTGGTTATAAGGGAAGTAAAGAGTTGTGTATACGAACAAAAAACAGTAACTCTGATTGATATGACAATGTCACTACCAGGAGGAGCTTTGGCTTTCTCTTCAGCTTCCTTTTTCTTCCTTTCCTCCTCTTCTAGTTGTCTTTGCTTCCAGGCGGGTACCTTCTTTTCTGCTGAACATACAGTAAGGAGGTTATGGTTTTTTCCATTGCTAGGTTATCATGAAAATAAGGAATTACGAAGACATCGAAGAAGGTATATGAATGATTTGATCCAAATGTGTAACAAGGCCAATACCAGGAGGAGCTTTGGCTTTCTCTTCAGCCTCTTTCTTTTTCTTTTCCTCCTCTTCTAGTTGTCTTTGCTTCCAGGCGGGCACTTTCTTTTCTGCTGAAGATATAAGAAATATCCAATAATGACAAGGTTCTCGTCTGCACGTCAGCACAGCCATTGTCGACATGAAAGTTAAATGTTGTGAGTACGCAGAAGGTGATATATTTCATGTTAATGTCACAATGTCACTACCAGGAGGGGCTTTGGCTTTCTGTTCTTCTTCTTTCTTTCTCTTCTCCTCCTCCTCTTGTCTTCTTTTCAACCAGGCAGGTATTTTCTTTTCCCCTGAATAAAATAACACACATGCTAAAACACCACTGTTACCGGAGTGTGTCGACGAAGGACAACTTTAGGAAGGTGAACACAAACACACACCGACAGAGACACACACCAGCCCGTGCTTTGGCTTTTTCCTCCTCCTCTTTCCTCCGTTGTTCCTCCTCCTGTCTTCGCTTTAACCAGGCGGGAACTTTCTTTACTTTCTCCTCTGTTTTACACAGATGACAACGACACATGGACAGGCACAGACAGGGTTAGTTCAGTTTACTTTGACAAAGGGGAAGTGGCACTTCTGACAAATGTTATGGGGCGATGTCAATGCAATGGAAAATCATCTAGAGCTAATATCCATGCATCTCTCCACAATACAACCACGTATCAACAGTCTGTAATAGTTGATCATAGTTACATAAAGTCTTACCAGGAGCAGCTGCAGCGGCTTCTTCCTCTTTCTTCTTCTTTTCGAGGAGCTGTTTCTGTTTCTGATCTTCCTCTTCTTTCTTCTTTTTCTCGAGGAGCTCTTTCTGCTTTTGTTCTTCTTCTTTCTTCTTTTTCTCGAGAAGTTCTTTCTTCTTACGTTCTTCTTCTTTTTGTCTCTTTTCGTCTTCTAACTTTTTCTTCTCGAGTTCCTTTCGTTTTTTCTCCTCTTCTGCCTTCTTTTGCTTTTCTAGAAGTTCCTTTTGTTTTCGCTCCTCCTCCTCTTTGCGTTTCTTTTCGAGGAGAGCTTTTTGTTTGCGGTCTTCTTCCTCTTTGCGCTGCTGTTCAAGCTGTTTCTTTTGTTCCTCCTCCTGCCTCTGTTTTTCTTGAAGTTCCTTTTGTTTCTTCTCTTCTTCAAGTTTGCGCTGTTTCTCGAGGAGTTCTTTTTGCTTCCTTTCTTCCTCCTCTCTTTGTTGTTTTTCAAGTTCTTTCTTTTTCCGAGCCTCCTCGTCTTCTTTGCTCTTCTTTTCGAGAAGTTCTTTCTGTTTTCGCTCCTCCTCCTCTTTGCGTTTCTTTTCGAGGAGAGCTTTTTGTTTGCGGTCTTCTTCCTCTTTGCGCTGCTGTTCAAGCTGTTTCTTTTGTTCCTCCTCCTGCCTCTGTTTTTCTTGAAGTTCCTTTTGTTTTTTCTCTTCTTCAAGTTTGCGCTGTTTCTCGAGGAGTTCTTTTTGCTTCCTATCTTCCTCCTCTCTTTGTTGTTTTTCAAGTTCTTTCTTTTTCCGAGCCTCCTCGTCTTCTTTGCTCTTCTTTTCGAGAAGTTCTTTCTGTTTACGTTCTTCTTCTTGGCGTTGTTTGTCGAGAAGCTCCTGTTGTTTTCTTTGTTCTTCCGCTAGTCTCTCCTTCTCAGCGAGTTCTTTTTGCTTCTTGTCTTCTTGGCGTTGTTTCTCGAGCTCTTGCTGTTTTCTCTGTTCTTCTTCTCTTCTTTGCTTTTCGAGAAGATCCTTTTCCTCCTTTTCTCTACGTTGCTTGTCAAGAAGTTCTTGTTGTTTTCTTTGTTCTTCCTCCTTGCGCTGCTTCTCGAGAAGTGCCTGCTCCTCCTTCTTCTGCCTTTGAAGAAGCTCCTGTTGTTTTCGTTCTTCTTCCTCTTTTTGCTGCTTCTGCCTGAGCTCTTCAGCTTCTCGCCGTTTCCTTTCTTCGTCATCTACGAATAACGATCGGAAAATGTGATGTGATGACAAAGCACGTGCACAAGCAAAAACACATGTACAACGGGATATCAATTGTATATTGTCTTCATAACTGTCAGAATGTAACATTTGCATACACACATTTAATGGGCATGCATTACTGGGGATGCGTAGACAATTGGGGGAAATACGGTAGGGAACTGGATCATAGAATGTTTGGTCTTGAATTCTGTATGGCCGCACAATATCTTCCTTTGGTCCTCAACCTAATTTTCTTGCAAGCTTGGATTAAAAAAACAGTTTTTTCCTCTTTCTACCGACGTTACCTTTGGTCTTGATCACAACTGGTGCAGAGGTGGCACTGGTTCCCTTGACTCCCTCGGCCGCGATGGACACCGTGTATTCGGTGTTGGGCTGCAGGTCGGTCAGTCGCCTCTCGGCCCCCGACGCTCCACCGCTGCTCTCCAGGACCCTGCCGTGGGCCGGGGACACAGACACGCTGTAGTTGGTGGCGCCTGGGACGGGCTTCCATGCGATGGTGGCGCCGGTCTCCGTCAGCGACGATGGCTTGATGCCACCAGGTGTGGAAAGAGCTGCAAAGGGAAACTGTCGTGATGAATTCTGTGGGGAACTAAGAGTTGTGGCACGATTCCTTCACCAATATTAACGCTGACGCTAATAATGGTATAGTCCTTCTAGCCCTCTTAGTTATCCTCGCAAGCGTTACATTTAAGGCTAACAATTCATTGACTTTGTTTCCCCGGTATTTGAACTTTCCATAAGAAATGATGAAGTCCGCATGTGGAAGAGTCCATCGGGAGTTAGTACAGTAATGAAAATGTCTACCCACAGCACACACTCACTAAAACCTATATCGAACACAATTTTGGGATTGTCCAGTGACCAGACGATAAAGTTATAAACTTTGGACCTGGTCCAGACAAATATGTTTTTGAAAACAAGATGTTTGTGGAACGTTGGATCTCGGTTGCAGCTCCTGTGAAAAGGACACGAATCTATGTATCCGGCGTCCACATGAACAGTACTTCAAGAAACACAATTTTTGTTACACCTACATGTAAGTGCTACTCGCCACACGCGATCGATGAGCCTTCACCATGTTTACCTTTAGTCATTTGATGGAATGTTTTGCTGGGGGCACTTCTGGTTCCGTCAGGTCCAATGGCAGTTACACTGTAATGATACTTCTTGCTCGGTTTTAGACCGTCTATCTTGTACTCTATGTTCGTCGTCTTTCCTGTGAGAAGTTCTATTCCTTCTGTTTGAACGGCGACTTCGTACCGGGTCGCGCCGGGGACAGGCGACCAGCCCAGCGACATGCCGGACTCTGACACATGGTTCAGCCTCACTTCGGCAGGAGCTGGGAGCACTACACACAGCGTACAGGGGAGGGACAAAGCAGAAGCTGGGAGAGGTTTCCTTTGGGTGAAAGCTTTGTCAAACTACTAAGTGGTACTGACAGAAAGAAAACATAAAACAGGGGTTGAAGCAACATACATACATGTACAATAGGGTTTTGCATGAGCAACAAGATCTTTGCTTTCTCTTAATACCTTTAGCGGCTTCTTTCTGTTTAGCAACAACTGCCTCGGGTTTAGCGGCCTCGCCCTCTGGTATAGCCTCCCGGGGTTGTTCTTTCTTGCCTTTTGGAACCGCGCCGGGTCCGGGGACCGCGACAGCTTTGAACACATTGAACACAGACAGAAGACGAAACATGAAACAAAAAAGTCACACATACAGAAAGCAACGTAACACAACAAAGATATAGAAACGCAAAGAAACATGCGAACACGAACACAGGCAGCTGCGAGACACAATAGAAAGAGCTATCTCGCGCAGATGAGAGTAATACTATGTCAGAACATTAGACTTGAGATTATTTCCCATTTTCCACCGTGTGCATTGGCATTTCGTCAGCGGAATATCGGTCAAATATTCATCAATACGAATATTATTCCTTGAAATCTTTTGAAATGTCAAGTGTTGACACAAAATGGTATACCTCCCATCAACTCCTCTACTGCCTCTAAAGTTGTCGGCCTTTCTTCCAGTTTTTCTTCGACCGTTGGCTTTTCCACTGGTAAAGGACAACGAGAATCAAATTAGAACAAATTAAAAACCGCTCCAGCCTATAGACACACCCCTCCTTAAGACAAAGAAGTTTTAGGTTAATCAAACGCGCGTGCATGAGGAATGTGTGCCGGTAACCCACGTTGAGCAGTTGATGGTGCTATGCATCATGTAGGATGGAAGAATGGAAGAGAGAAAAATATGTGAGAATATGGCCATGGTTAGGTGGTTTAGTACGATGTACGTTGTGAGATGGTAATGAAAGACGTAAGATGAAATATGATGATGACGTAAAGGTGAAGAAGAGCTAAAGTCTAGCGATGAAGGTACGTATATGGAAGTAATGATATATCTACTGAGATGGTATTGTGATGAAGATGACGCGTAGGCTTATTATGGGATGTCCATTGCCATTCTTGTACGAAATCACTGCTAGCCTAATGACAGCAATGTTAAGTGCACCCATACACCCATATGCGTGTTGTATATGACAATGGGAAACTGTTTAGCTTAGTGAAAGCCCCGAACACCAGGAGCTCCATTTCATCTACATGTGGATGGACAGCATCAAAGCCACAACACACTACTGCCCCTCTCGTTGACAGGGTCATTTCATGCCAGCCATTTCATTCAGGCAACATCAGGACCAAACAAAAAGGCTGACATAGAAATGAAACCCATCCGCAAGGAAAGGAACCAGTTCCGCCACCGCTACCACCACCACTGTTCCTCTCACCTGGCACGCCCAGTTTCTGTCGTTGCAGTTCAGTCACCTTTTCTTGCAGACCCGGTTTTGGTTGTGACTCTTCTTTTAGTTTGGCCTGAAGGACCTTTGGTTTGGTAGAAGGTTCTGTCTTGGGTACCTCAGTCGGTGGTTTCGTGACAAGATCTTCCCCTCTTTCTATTGAAAACGCTTCGTACGGTGGCTTCTCTGGTCCTCGGACCTCTTCTTCTTTAGTGGTGGCCACCACTTGTGGTGGCTTTTCCATTGGTACAGTTTCTTTTCTTTCCTTACCTGTTGGCTTCTTGGAAGGAGCAGCATCTTCTGGTTTCTTGTGGACTGGAGCCTCCGTTGGTTTCTTCTCAGCGCCAGGTAAGGCCTCTTGTTTTAGACGACTCGGCTCTTTTTTCTCCACGTCTTTGCTTACCACCTCTACTGGCTTCTCAGGGGTAATATTGACTTCCTCGCGAGGGATCTTCGGGGCTGCAGCGTCTCTACCTTTCTCGGCAGAAGTAATGGGAACGGCGTCTTCCTTGACGGGGACAGTCTTCTTGACTGGGACATCTTTCTCTGTTGTGAGTTTTGACGGCTCTGATACCGTGACTTCTCTGATGGCGACCGCATCTCCTGCCTCAGTGGGTACCTTGGAATCAGCCTCCTTTGCTTTTTCTTCAACACCCTTCTCTGTCGGGGGTATTTCGCCAACTGCCTCGGGGAGTTTCTTCTCAATGACTGCTTCCGTCTTTTTTTCTTGGGTATGCTCCATTTTCGGCTGGTCCTTGGAAGGTTTTTCCACTGCAGGTTCTTCGACAGGAACGGCCGCCTTCGTAGCCTCAAGGGGCGTCTTGGGAACAGCTACCTCCGCAGTGGCACTTTTCCCTGTTGGAGGTTTTGTTGGTGTCTCGTCGACAGGCAATGTCTTGGTCTCCGTTGTTTCACGAGTCTTCTTCTGAATAACGACCTCTTTCGGTTTTTCCTGTACATCTTCCTTCAGCTTTGAAGGATGCAACACCTTTTCTTCTGTAATCTGTTGAACGACCTGAGTTGTCTCAGTCTCAGTGGGTGTCTTGAGGACGGCCGTCTCTTTATCTGCTTCCAGCGACTCCACCTTGCTTGGGATCACCTGTTTTGGCTCTCCTTGTTCAGCGGTTCTCTCGGCCTCTTTTGCGTCCGTTGGGGCGACAGCGACTGGCCTGTCTGTTTGAGCGTTATACATTGAACACTTAGGCAGAGAAGTATGTATAATGAGGAAATTGACTAAATCTAAACACAAGTTTAAGTATCGGCATGCATTGCAACGCCTGACAAATAGTGTTAGGTTTCTGGCTTTCGTCATCAGAAATAAGCAAGGTAAGAACATCATCACTAAACCTTAAACTGCCGTACATATTTCACTATATCTCCCCAAAGCTACGTATCTACAGGATCCTATAACAAGGAACGCTAGTATGGTTTTTTACTGGGTACATGTCACGGGTAGTGACCTCTTGCATGTCCTTGTGCTGACAGTACTTTCGACATTATCTTTAATCTCAAGAAATTCTTTGTCGATGTAGGTTATCTGAAGCACGGATCCCAGGTGGTTATTAAGTACATGTCAAAGCAACAGTAGCACAAGGAATGCTCTTTTAGTTTGTACCTGTTGGGACAGACACAGGCAATGTAGGCTTTGCTTGTTCATCCCGTTCCTTCTCCTCTGTAATGACAAGAATTGCAACTGTATCGAACCCATTCCATGAAGTCAATACGTTAGAAGTTAAAAGAGACCAAATACGAAACTGTGAAAGCAAATTTAGATTACTATAGACACTATAGCTACCTTGATGGTAAGATGTTTACCAGTGTAATACCAGTGTGCAAGCTTCGGTATAGCTTCCTTCGCCATAGAGCGAATCCCTTGTGCACCCAACATACCAGTACCAGAAAAAGCATCACCGACAACCCACTTACTCACCGACAACCCTCAACTCAGCTTGATGAGAATTAACGAGAAATGAAATATACAAGAAAGATTCTACACAGAATGGGGTACCAGAGCAATAAAAAGTGAAAGAACATGAATTAATGAAGTTATTTCTTAGTACGTTGACCTTGAACTAGAAATGAACACCAACATGTTAACACCAATGTAAATACTATAATAATCGATGAAACCACCTGTAAAAGGCTAGGAGACATGATCAATGAAGGATTCTACCACGGAGTACCTTTTCCCCCGCATTGGCATAGTCTTTCCAACCATGTCATTCAGGCGACCTTAGCAAATGAGAAGGCCAGCAAAGACGCCTGCAAGAAGAAGAACCAGCCACCTCTCACCCGCTGTAGATGAAACGATGACGTTTTTTACCATTGTTTGTCCCACCTGGCATGACCTGAGGTTGAAGCTTAATTGTTGGTTTCTTCTGGTCTGTTAGGTTTTCGTTGAGTCCGGATTTTCTCTGTGGTTCTTGTGATTGAGGTTTGGTGGTCGATTCGAGCTCCTGTATTTCTACCGTTTTATGGAGTGAGGGTTTTGTTTGTGGTTCTTCCTGTTGTTGGTTGGCAGTTGGTACCATCTTCTGCACTCCTACCGTCTCATAGAGAGTTGGTTTTGCTTGAACCTTTTCTGGTTCAAGTTTGATAGTTGGTTTCAGATCATGTACCACTGTCTCACCAAGGAGTCCAGGTTTCGGTTCTTCTTCTGTTTGCTGAGGTTTAACATCTATCGCATGTACAACTTCGTCTTCAGTCTGTGGTTCTTCTGGTTGAGCTATGGTGATAGCTTCATGGGTTCCGGGTTTTGTGTGTTGTTCTTCTGCCTGAACTGGGAACTTGCAAGTTGGTACCAGGTTCTGTTCCACTAACGTCTCGTGGAGTCTGGGATTTGTTTGCTGTTCTTCCATTTGAGGTTCGGTAATCGGTTCCATCTTTTGAAGAACTATTGTTTTAGTTTGTGGCTCGTCTTGTTGAGGTATCTGCTGTACCACTACCGTTTCATGGAGTCCAGGTTTTGTTGATAGTTCTTCTAATTGAGCTTTGGTAGTTTGAGCTTTGGGAGTCGGTTCTATCTGCTGCACCACTGTCGTCTCATGGAGTCCAGGTTCTATCCTTTGTGGCTCTTCTCGTTGCACTTTGGTAGTCGGTTCCATATGCTGTACCACTATCGTGTCATGGAGTCCAGGCTTTGTTTGTGGCTCTTCTGGTTCAGCTTTCGTAGTCGGCTCTATCTTTTGTACCACTGTCGTTTCAAGGGGTGATGGTTTTATTTGCGGTTCTTCCGGCTGAGGTTTGTTAGTCGGTTCTACCTCCTGTACCACTACCGTCCCATGGATTTCAGGTTTTGTTTGTGGTTTTTCTGGTTGATCTTTGGTAGTCGGTTCTATCGTCTTTACCACTATCGTCTCTTTGAGTTCAAGTTTTGTTAGTGATTCTTCTGGGAGAGGTTTGGCAGTTGTTTGTACCATTACCGTCTCATGAAATCCAGGTTTTGTTTGTGGCTCCTCTCGTTGCGCTTTGGTAGTCAGTTCCATATGCTGTACCACTATCGTGTCATGGAGTCCAGGCTTTGATTGTGGCTCTTGTGGTTCAGCTTTCGTAGTCGGTTCTATCTTTTGTACCACTGTCGTTTCATGGAGTCCTGGTTTTGTTTGCGGTTCTTCTGGTTGAGTTTTGGTAGTCGGTTCAACCTTTTGTGCAACTACCGTCTCATGGAGTCCAGGTTTTGTTTGTGGTTCTTCTGGTTGAGCTTTGGTAGTCGGTTCTATCGTCTTTACCACCACCGACTCTTTGAGTTCAAGTTTTGTTAGTGATTCTTCTGGGAGAGGTTTGGCAGCTGTTTGGACCACTACCGTCTCATGGAATCCAGGTTTTGTTTGTGGCACGTCTTGTTGAGTTTTAGTAGTCGGTTCCATCTTCTGTTCCGCAGCCACCTCATGGAGTCCAGGTTTTGTTGATAGGTCTTCTGGTTGAGCTTTGGTAGTCGGCTCTATCTGCTGTACCACTACCGTCTCATGGAGTCCAGGTTTTGTTTGTTGTTCTTCTGGTTGAGCTTTGGTAGTCGGTTCCACAACCGTCTCTTTGAGTTCAAGTTTTGTTAGTGATTCTTCTGGGAGAGGTTTGGCAGTTGTTTGTACCACTACCGTCCCATGGTCATGGAATCCAGGTTTTGTTTGTGACTCGTCTTGTTGAGTTTTGGTAGTCGTTTCTATCTTCTGTACCACTGCCGTCTCATGGAGTCCAGGTTTTGTTCGTAGGTCTTCTGGTTCAGGTCTAGTAGTGGGTTCACTCTTTTGTACCACTACAGTTTCCGGGATTCCAGGTTTTGTTTGTAGTTCTTGTTGAGGTATGGTAGCCGGTTCTATCGTCTGTACCACTACCGTTTCGTGGAGTCCAGGTTTTGTTGATAGTTCTTCTGGTTGAGCTTTGGTAGGTTGATCTTTGGTAGTTGGCAATATCTGCTGTACCACTTCCGTCTCATGGAGCCCAGGGTTTGTGTGTGGCTCTTCTGGTTCAGCTTTCGTAGCCGGCTCTATCTTTTGTACCTCTGTTGTTTCATGGAGTCCTGGTTTTGTTTGTGGTTTTTCTGGTTGAGGTTTGCTAGTCGGTTCTATCTCCTGTACCACTACCGTTTCATGGAGTCCAGGTTTTGTTTGTGGTTCTTCTGGTTGAGCTTTGGTAGTCGGTTCTATCTTCTTTACCACTACCGTCTCTTTTCGTTCAAGTTTTGTTAGGGATTCTTCTGGGAGAGCTTTGACAGTTGTTTCTATCCTTTCGACCACTACCGTCTCATGGTGTCCAGGTTTTGTTTGTGGCTCGTCTTGCTGAGTTTTTGTAGCCGGCTCTATGTTCTGCAGCACTGTCGCCTCATGGAGTCCTGGTTTTGTTGATAGTTCTTCTGGTTGAGCTTTGGTAGGTTGATCTTTGGAAGTCGGCTCTATCTGCTGTACCACTGCCGTGTCATGGAGTCCAGGCCTTGTTTGCGGCCCTTCTGGTTTATCTTTGGTACTGGGTTCTATCTTTTGTACCACTGTCGTTTCAAGGGATGATGGTTTCGTTTGCGGTTCTTCTGCTTGAGGTTTGGTAGCCTGTTCAACCTTTTGTACAACTACCGTCCCATGGATTCTAGGGCTTGTCTGTGGCTCGTCTTGTTGAGATTTTGTAGTCGGTTCTATCTTCTGTACCACTGTCGCCTCATGGAGTCCAGGTTTTGTTGTTAGTTCTTCTGGTTGAGCTTTGATAGGTTTGGTAGTTGGCTCTATCTGTTCTACCACTGCCGTCTCGTGGAGTCCTGGTTTTGTCTGTAGTTCGTCTGGTTGAGGTCTGGTAGTCGGTTCTATCTTTTGTACCTCTACCGTTTCATGGAGTCCAGCTTTTGTTGCTAGTTCTTCTGGTTGATCTTTGGTAGTCAGTTCTATCTGCTGTACTACTATCGTCTCGTGGAGTCCAGGTTCTATCTTTTGTGGCTCTTCTCGTTCCACTTTGGTAGTCGGTTCCATATGCTGAACCACTATCGTGTCATGGAGTCCTGCCGGCTTTGTTTGTGGCTCTTCTGGTTCAGCTTTCGTAGTCATTTCTATCTTTTGTACCACTGTCGTTTCAAGGGGTGGTGGTTTTATTTGCGGTTCTTCTGTTTGAGGTTTGGTAGTCGGTTTAACCTTTTGTACAACTACCGTCTCATGGAGTCCAGGTTTTGTTTGTGGTTCTTCTGGTTGAACTTTGGTAGTAGGTTCTATCGTCTTTACCACAACCGACTCTTTGAGTTCAAGTTTTGTTAGTGATTCGTCTGGGAGAGGTTTGGCAGTTGTTTCTATCCTTTGGATCTCAAATGTCTCATGTTGTCCATGTTCTGCTTGTGGTTCAAGCCTCTGTACCACTGCAGTGTCAGGGGATACTGATTTTGGAAGAGGGACCTGTGTCTGTGGTTCAATAGTCGGTCCCTTCTCCTGCACTGGTGCCTCTTCAATCTGTGGTTCTTCTGGTTGAGTGTTGTCGGCCGGTTCCATCTGTACCACTACAGATTCACGGAGTTCTTTTTCCTGCATTCCTTCCGGAGCTCGTTGAGGTCTGGTAGTCGATTCCTTCTTAAACACAAAACTTATAAACTTTTCATAGAGCCCTAGTTTCTCTTGTGATTCTTCTGGTTGAGCTTTAGTCTGTTCTTCATGATCAGTTGAACCGTCCCTGACGGGAGCAGCCTCAGACGGCGTCTTGTGAACGACCGCGTCCCCCACTGTTCCCTTTTTGGTTGAAGGTTTTGGTCGTTTGTTATCAGAGGTGCGGTCTTGACGCTCCTCCGGAACGACCACCACACTCACTTTCTCGTCTGTTGTTTCCTCGCTAGTCGACTTCTCTAGAGGTACCGATTGAACTGGATTCGCCTTCGGTTTCTCATCAATGTGTGTTATGACTTGTTTCTTTGGACTGGTTTCCTTTTTGGCTTCTTTTTCTTCTTCCCGCACCAGCATTACTTGCTTTTGCTTGCCAGTAATCATCATCTCAGGAGTCTTTAGAACAGCAACCTCTTTGACTTCCTCTACAAAAACAAGAGTATCTTTCTCTGTAAGGGGAAGTAAGACGGTGACCTCTTCAGCAATGGTATTTGTTTTTTCGGTGGGTGTGATAAAATCAAACTCTTTCGTTTCTTCTCCAACACCCTTCTCTGTTGACGGTTTTGATGGCTCCTCGTCCATTGGTGGTTTTCCCTTCACTGTCTCTGTG